CTGCTGAAAGACTCCTCAGAAAAAAATGTAAAATAATTTGCCTGAATTCATTGCTGGCATTTACACTATCAAAGACACTAGAAGCTGTAAGTGCATCTGCACTGTCAGTCTTATAATGTCCATTAATATTGACATCATGTGTCAAGACATATTAAATGATGTTTATAGAAGGTAATAGATTGTTAACACACTATTCTCATAAATGTGGGCGCTTTTTTTAATAATACAAAGCTAATCAGAAAACATCTGGTTTTGTGTTGATGCAATATAATGTAAAATGCCCTGCTCTCAAATAATTCCTATGACCTGTATTCTCCATCTATTTCATACAGGATAGAATTCATCTCTGCATATTTCTTCATAATTTTTTCTTTACCTTTATTCTTTTTTAATATTTTTATGGAAGATAAATATGCCAGTAATTATCAGTTTGTACACATTTATTAAGGTAATTTATTAAAAAAATAGGAGAATCAGATACTGTAAAGACAGAAAATGGCAGAATTAAGATGGCTTATGATACCTTTTTGTCACCTCCACAGTGAATTTATTGTGCCTTTATGAGACAGACGTGCTTTGGAAACAGCATAATGTGTCAATGTATAATTAAATACTCTGCACATTAGTAAGAAATTGACTTGAATGCTGCATAGAGAACCTTCGGTCTTATTTTGTTTGATACAGTTGTTTTAACATGGTTATTTGTAATTGATTTCCTAGCTTTGCAGAAACTATGATGTTTTTACATCGTCAGTAGTGTGTGAGCCTCCGTTATGGCTCCTCTCACTCCACGTCAGGCCTGATTACACTGACAGCACAAGGAGGTGGAGGAAGCCAAAGGAGATCACCAGTGAAAGTTAGCTTATCGTGGGTCTGTGGCAGATTTGAGGACAGCTGTGAGCAGTTTGTTCTGACTCTCATATCCCTTAACTCCTTTGCTGGATCTGCTCTGGTAGTTGCTGGATTTTCCTATTGAAGGGTCATGTGCTGCTGCTCTTGCTGCTTGATACCTGTGTGGGCTTGACTTCGGACTATTCAGCCAGTTACTGCATTAGCAGGTTGCCCGAATTTTACCCATGAACATGGGTTGTGACAAAATACTACCTGTGAACACTAGCAGTTCAGCCTTAGCACAGTTTCTTGCTTCAAAAAAATCACACGTTTGCAGCATGAGAATTTTCTCTCTGCTAAATTTTAAAAGCTGTGACTCAGGAGCACACTCAGAAACTGACTACAAAAATCTTCTGTGGAAAGAAACAGAATTACATTCACATTGTGTCTACTCCCATATAAAAGTGCATGCTTAAGGAAATGCTTTTTTTGTAGAGTAAGCATATAGTCCAGATATTTAATATCAGTCTGTATTTTTAATTAGGATTTTTCTTGTATTTGAAGGTTCAGTAATGTAGTCAGAGCACACACCCGACTCGAGTCAAGGTACAGTAATAGCTCCGGAGGATCTTATGACGATGACAAAAGTAAGTTCTATTATTCAATTTGATGAAGAAATTTGTGGTGTTTTGGTGTGAGAGGAAAACATTCTTATGACTGGTGGAGGCTCTCTGTTTGAGTTCTGTATAAACATCAGTTTATACAGATGTATAGGCTCAGTCAAACCTATTTAAAGGCCAGAGAACTTCACAGAAGGTAGCAGCAGAGAATCCACCAGACAGTAACACCTTGAACCTTTTGTACAGGGCAAGGTAAAAGACTTCCAACAGCATTACAGAATTACTTTGAATTGTGCTCTTTGCCACAATAGGATAATTTAATGTATATCCACACCTATTTTTCGTAATTATGAAGCACAATATTTACAAAGTATTGTGAATATACATACTGCAGTATTTAAATAAAAAAGTGTGCAACGTGTTAAAAGTCATGGGTTTTAGTACACTTGTCTTGTTTTTCTTATGGCTTTCTAGTGCTGCAGCTACTAAAAATTCTTCAGCGGATGTTAATTGCAGTGCTAAACTGATCTGCATGAACAATCTTTCAAAATAACAAACTTTATATTATCAGAACATTCTTCACAAGTAGCTGGTTTTGACAAGAGCTTAGAGTAATATAAGGTTAAAAAATACTGAAATTTTCTTGGCTCTTTTGGAACGTCTTCTCAAGCGGGTGCCTAAATGTTTTTTCCTGCCCGTAACTGCAAGCTTTATAGTACTGTGAATATTTACGCAAGGTTTGCTTCTCACAGGGATTCCTTCTGCACATATACTAATACCTGGATGTAAAATAAAATACATTCTACTTAGCTACCGACATTTATATGGACTCTAAAAAGAAAGAGTAATTCTTATACCATTTGTCATTCTACAAGATGAATAATGCAACCTCCATTAAATAAGTGCAACTTACTCCCTCTGGCAGGCAGCCCAGGCTGTGAAGGAGTTGGTGGTACAGCTTCTCTCTTCTCTCCGGTCTATTTAAGCATACGTGTATCACTGAGGATATAAGTAGGGAACACAACTCTGCAGCCCAGAAACTCTTTTGTTCAGGCAAAGATTGTATGTTAAGGTGTAAAGTGCTTCTTTTTTTCCCAGTCTGCGCATAAGCTTGTGAAAATATGAGTGAGGAGCTAGGTCTTAGTGTGGACTTCATGAAGCAGTTTGATGTGAAATGCTTAAATTGGTAGTAATAAATAGTGACTGTGCAGTGTTTTTTATGTGAAAAACATCTGGCAAACATTATCTGGTTAATCCTTGGAAGATGAATATGTGAAAATGCTATACTTTGCTACATTATTAGGTCAGTTTATTCTTCTTTAACTAATAAATCATCCTCCAGATGATGAGAAAAATAAGTAGAACTATAAATCATAAAGACCTGCCTGGACTTGTGCAAAGCATTTGACACTGTCCTGCACAACGTCCTTGTCTCTAAACTGGAGAGACATTGATTTGACTGATGGACCACTTGGTGGCTAAGGAATTGGCTGGATCATCGCACTCAGAGAGTTGTGGTGAAATTCAGTGTCCTAGTGGAGACTAGTGGTGAGTGGCATTCCTCAAGGGTCAGTATTGGGACCAGTGCTGTTTAACATCTTTGTCAACAACATGGACAGTGGCATCGAGTGCACCCTCAGCAAGTTTGCCGATGACACCAAGCTGTGTGGTGCTGTTGACATGCTGTAGGGGAGGGATGCCATCCAAGAGGGGCCTTGACAGGCTGGAGAGGTGGGACTGTGCAAACCTCATGAAGTTCAACAAATCAAGTGCAAGGTCCTGCACCGGGGTTAGGGCAATCTCAAGCACAAACACAGGCTGGGTGATGAGTGGATTGAGAGCAGCCCTGCAGGGAAGGGTGGATGAAAAAGTGAAAATGAGCCAGCAATGTGCACTCGCAGCTCAGAAGGCCAACCATATCCGGGGCTCCACCAAAAGAAGTGTGGCTAGCAGCGTCAGCAAGGGGATTCTCCCCCTCTACTCTGCTCTCCTGAGACCCCACCTGGAGTACTTTGTTCAGCTCTGGGGCCCCCAGCACAAGAAGGACATGGACCTGTTGGAGCGAGTCCGGAGGAGGGCCACAAAGGTGATCAGGGGGCTGGAGCACCTCCCCTGTGAGGCCAGGCTGAGAGAGTTGGGGTTGTTCAGCCTGGAGAAGAGAAGGCTCTGGGGAAACCTTATAGCAGCCTTCCAGTACCTAAAGGGGGCCTACAGGAAAGATGGGGAGGGACTTCTTAAGAGCACCTGCTGCGATAGGACAAGGAGCAATGGTTTTAAACTGAAAGAGGGGAAATTTAGACTAGATATAAGGAAGACATTTTTTGCAATGCGGGTGGCAAGACACTGGATGTGTGCCATGAGAAGCTCTAGCTGCCCCCTCCCTGGCAGTGTTCAAGGCCAGGCTGGATGGGGCTTTGAGCAACCTCTGGTGGAAGGTGTCCCTGCCCATGGCAGGGGGGTTGGAACTAGATGGGCTTTAAGGGCACTTCCAATCCAAACCATTCTATGATTCTGAGATTCTGTGATCTAAAGTGCTCCTTGGAAGACTAACCCTGAAGAATAGGAATGCTAAATTTGGCATTTTAGTAATAATTGGGGGATCAGCTACTGCATTGAAGGGCTCTTGAAGATCTGGAGAGCTGAAGACATTTTGTCAAAACCGAGAAGTGATGTGCATTAGAAAAAGCTAGCTCTGATACTTTTGTAGGCATCAAAACAGTTTTGTTTCCTGTGGCAAAGGCGATAAGCATCAGATACATGCTGTTAAAAAAAGGAAAGCTCTGAGACTTTCAAACATGCCTAAAATGCAAAAGTGTAACAAAAAAAAAAAAAAACCAAAAAAAAAAAACAGAGCAAAAAATAATGCTCTCATTAAAAATTCACAAAGGCCAATGTTTGGATATATGTCAAGAACATGCCTGGAAAGGATACTGACTGATGAAATGAAAACTGACCGATGGGAAAATTGAAAAGAATGAGAGGGAACAAAATACGGGAGAGATGAACAAAGCTGTGCAGCTGAGAGAAGACAAAGTGGTGGAAATAACTTACTTGACCCACACCATGCAGATAAACAGACGGAAGAAAAAACCCCTGTTGCTCATTAACATATAGCAGCTGTCATACTGAAGCAAAGTTAAATACATCTTTGAGAAATTCAAGAAATAATTCATCCCCGCTGAAATAAAATTATCCCTGAAGATGTTTTTTGCATTCCGTATGCCTCCTTCCTAATTCAGGACATTGAACTTCTGCCTTTGTAGCATCACTCAGCAGGGCACTGGTGAGGAGTTGCAAGAATGTGTCACTGGTATGCGGGTCCTTGCAGCAGATGGCTTCTGACAGGGGATTCGTTGGCTGAACTTTTCTCTCATTTTTGAAGAGAAAGTCTGTTGCTTGGTGCTTTGTGATCTGGATCCAAAGCTACTAAGTGACAGCAGGGATTCAGCTGCCGCTCCTACCATTCAGTGCTATCTGCCTGGAATCTGATTAATTTCCAGCAGCGTGAAAGAAGCATTAAAAATGCATCACTTGTTTTTGAACACAGGAATTTGCAAACCTCAAGTCATCTTATCACATTATTCCAAACAGCTGAGCTGATATGTTAGCATAAACTCTTATTTTATTATTTCTCCAAAATGGGTGACCAGACTTGGTTTTTATGCTCTCTGTTTTAATGCTTTTCCACGCAGATGATCCTGTTTCTCCATATACAAGCTGGCTATTGAATATTGTTGAAACCAAACAGCCACATCCCCTGCCCATGCCTTACAATGGAGGATGTTGGGCACCACTTGTGGACTACCTCCCAGAAACCATCACACCCCGGGGACCCCTTCATAGGTGAGCAGTTTCTCATTCTGATATTTCAAAAAATGACATGCTTTGTCTTACTGGTTGGCCAACACCAATCCAACTGTCGCACTACTGAGAACATCTGAAACTCATACCTTCAATTTCTGCTGATTTCCACTACTAAAATCAACATGCAATGAAGGCTTGGAGTTCTACCAGATTTCTACTAGAAAGCCTATTTACAATGGAGGACATCACTTTCTGATAGGAATCGGGCTGAAGAAACAACTAAAACAGAAAAGGAAAATTTCTCTGGCCCAAGCCTCTCTGGCTGTTATTCATAGCACTTTTCCCCCCTTGATCTTTTATTCTAACTAGGCTATGCATATTCTGAAATTCATCTTTTACATAATTTGTATTGACAGTAATAGTGCTCTTTTCAGTAATGGGTGCTTACCTGTTTCATACTGTGACTAAGGTACTTCAGCATTAATCATATTGAGAAGAAACGCTACAAATTTTGAAATGTAGAGATTCTTTATTTCTTCAGAAATAGCCATCATGTTACTACTTGCCCATCTTCAAGAGGTTTCAAATTGATGGTGTGATTTAATTTCCAGGTGCAATATTGCTGTCATTTTCATGACTGAGATGGTAGTGGATCACAGTGTGAGAGAGGATTGGGCCCTTCACCTCCCTTTATTGCTACATGCCCTCTTTTTAGGTAAGACCAACAGAACAAGAAATAAAGTATAAATGTACTCCTGTGCTTTTAGTTTAGTTTTGCTGAAGCTGTAGATTTGTGTTTCTTATATGATTTCCTAAAATTTTTTTTTAAAGCCTGAGGCAGTTACAGTCTGTGAATTAGTCTCAAAACTTTGAATCTTTTTAATATTTTGGCCGATTTCACCCAAAATATGAGAAGTGGGTAGAAATTTGAAGATGACTGACTTCCTAAATGATCTCTAAAAACCCTGTAGCCCCCTCAGACTTGAGAGAAAAGCAGAGGAAACTCAGCCTTTGTATAGTCTGGTTTGTGATGGGCAGCTGGGCAGTCAGCATATGCCTTAGACCTGGACTGCACACAGCAGTGCTGTCTCTTGCCTTTGCAAAAATATTATGTAAGAGAGCCAAGATTACTGAACTGCAGAGATAATGAAGGTAGGAAACTTTCCAGACCACTGGAAAGCAAGCTTCATTAATTTTACTGCTAATAGAATACTTTATCATCGGTGTCTTCTCTTACATACCTGAGCATAGAGGCACTACTTTTTTCCCCACTGCTGTGTCTGTTCTTGACTGTAACACAGTTCAACTGGAGGGTGATACCTTCCTTATCCTGCCACTTAACATTATGAAAAGTGAGCAGCCTAATTTTTTAGCACACAAGAGTATTTAGAATTATAAAGCCATTCCCTAACTTTCATGGTTGATCAATAATAGTTTTCACAAATAAACACATCCAGACACTTGTGAAATAAATTGATTATAACTGGAGATGACAGTCCACTTCTCATTCGGTCACTGCAGTTACCACTAAGTCTATTTGCTGGCAGTCTGGGAAGAGTCTGTTGTTCAGTGCACAGATTGAATTGGGAGGTTACAGCACAGTGGTGGAACATATGTGATATAGTTCAGTACATAGTTGAAGAAGATACCTCATTCTCCTTTTCTACTATGCTGTTACCAACTTTTCTGTTGGAAATATTTTTATGAAATAGGGTTTTTTAGAAAGTGCACACTCGCCAAATACTCAAGTTTTGTATGTTAGTACATTGATTTCAACAAACTTCTAATGAAACACAGGAACAGCAGCCAGGACCGTGTCGGATGGGACTTCTGGGGTCAGTTTCAATACAAAATTTCACATACCATCTTCACTTTAAAGTTAAATCTATTTTGTGGCTGCCCATAACAATTTTTTACTTCTTTTCTGTATTGTTGTGAACTTTCTAAGTATAAGAGGGAGACGAAAGAGGACTGGATAAGTATATAAATCAAATCGATAACAATCAACTGATCAAACAATGTCTTTAGTATGATTTGTAACAAGTGTGAGAAAACTGGTGCTTGCAGTTAGAAATTCTTACAAGAATAAATGGATAACTTAAGACAGCTAGAAGGAACCATCAGGGAGCCATGCAAATAAACATGTGCAAAACCAGAGTTACGGTATTAGTAATCCATTATAAAAATATATTTATTGATTTGTTCATTCAATAATATTTCAACATTACAGGTTTTTGTTGGAAATAAATAGAAATTTATTAATACCATTTGAGACAGTCCCTTGGTTAAGAACTCTCAATTTTCAAATGTGAAATTAAAGCTAAATGTAACTGGTAACTAAATGTAACTGGTTTAGTGGCAATTAAAATGAGATCACAGCTCCAGGCTTCAAGTTCAGTTTCTCTAGAGTTGTTATACCTCCTGTGGAATATGTTTTGTAGTAGAGCTCTGTTGTGATGGTGTAAGGAAGTTATGCTACACATTAGCCAAAGGTATGAATGTGGTATTGAAAATGAAGTGTTTCTGTCCTGTTGGAATGTGAGCATCTGACCAAAAAGGAAATTTGAACCTAGTATGGTGGCTAGCTGGAGAGCCTGTATCCTTCCATTTATTGTAAGGAGTGAGAAAATACTAAAATGAAAGAAGTTTGCAATGTAAGTGTTTAATAGGCTATTGGATGGTTTGTAGCACTGACAGTGAAGTAGAGAGGCAGACGGCTGGTGTGAATCTGCCTATCTCAGTAGTGCGTGAAAATCACTGCTGTTTAAAAGCTCTTTTGCAACCAGTGTGAAATGAGTTGAGCAGCTACGCTCCTTTCCCAGGGAAATGTGTCTGCATCACAGAAGTTTACTCTCTCAGGAAGTCGTCCAAGTTAAAGAAGGCCCAGCACTGGACAAACACAAAGACTAAACTGTCCTTTTCACTTCATAGTTAGCATACCTGTCAATACTTTCATACAACCCTAGGGTTTAACAGGATTTCAGTCACAAGTCCTGCCAGTACAGAATTTATTTTCAACTAAAAGAACTTTTTATATCCTTTTCAGTGTACATTAGAACAGGATAGGTTGGGTTGGTAATCTCCTGGCAGGTGGAAGGAAGTAGAGAAAGGGAAATAGGAGGAGAAACTGTAGAATCCGAAAAAGAGGTGGGCAGGTTGGCCTGGTTCTTTCAGAGGAGGCAATGGGCAGATGAGTAAGACCAAGGATCACAGGACGTCCAAATTCCTGCCCATAGGAGCCAAAGACACATTGTTCAGACTAGGGAAATATGAGCAGCTTAACTTTTGCCTGTCAGGCAAGAACCAGCATGACTGGATTATATTAGAAAACACCTGACTTGAAAGACCTGTTAGCTGCTGCCACTTAGAGTAATGAAGGAGCTGCTTTTTAAAGAGGAAGGTATCCTGAGAAGAGAGGAGCTGAAGAAGAAATCAATTCCATTTTTCAGCACTGAAACTGCCCCTAAATGGAAGAAAGTATTTTTAACTATCCTGGAAGATGCTGAAAGAAAATCAAAAAGAAATTACTACCACAGAGTGCAGTTTATTTTCCAAACATGTTTCCTTTATATTTGTAATTTGTGAATAATTCAGGTGTGTTAAAATCTTTTGAACATCAATAGTGCTAACCAGATCAGAGTTTTTCAGTGCTAGACCTTCGGTTTCAGTTCTGCACCCTGAGCTAGTGGCTAATTTCTCATGCTACTCCCTGGTAGCTGCTGTTCTTTTTCAAGAGATTTTGTCTGTCAGTTCCTTTCTTAATAAATCAGTATCTACCTCTTACAGTTTGCACTCATTGTAAAACTGATGTCATGCAAGAAAGCCAGTTACTGAGGTCAGGAGTGTAATCACAACCACCACCAAGAATTTCTCCTCTTTAGAGGTTTTCCGACCCTGTCAAATTAACACTGGAATGAGACAGAATGCATAAAGTTGTATTGCCCCACATTGTTTTGTACCTCTTGTATGGGACCTCAGTCTGGAAACTAAATATGCACATACAATTAAGTAAAAACCCTAGTAACTGTGCCTGGAAATACTCCATCTTTTGTCTGTTTGCACAGTTGCTGTGACCTGCCTTGGAATTTTTGCTGTTTCTGGAATGTGAACTTGTTTATTATTACTTCATATTCAGTGATTGCTGTAACCTTTTCTTTTAGGTCTTGACCATTACCGCCCTGAGGTCTTTGAACACAGTAAAAAGTTACTGCTTCACCTTTTAATTGCATTATCTTGCAATAGCAACTATCAAGCCATTGCATCAGTGCTTCTTCAGACTAGAGAGATGAATGAGACCAAGACTCTGACGGTACAACCAGCGTATTTACCTGAATATCTTTACACAGGTAATAAAGCAAAAGAAGAAAAGAAAATTGCATTACACCATGAGGTTTTCGAAAGTAGAATGCAAGGTTACTTTCCTAAAATGTAACATTTTTGATAAATTAAAGTAGTAAAGGGGCAAATATGAACAGTTCCAGTTAATATTAATTCCATGTGAACTACCCTAGAGATGTGCCCAAATTATTATTAGATAACTTTCATGATAGCGAGAAAGCTATCTAATGTAAGGCAAAATACGTAATGTAGAATTTTAAACATTCATATGGCTAGTAGCTTCCTAACTTCCCCCTCAGGGAGCCAGGACTACTTTAAATGAGGGCAATCACTCCTCAACCTTCAAAAGGAATGAATAAATAATTCCAACATAGGAAGAAGAGCAAGAATATTCAGCTCAGATTTTCCATTATTAAGTTAAATTTCACATGATATACACCCTCCTTTATCTCACAGATACACTTCATTTCTATCCTGAAATCTATTTCTGCATTGGGAGGCCTAGCTTCAAACCTCTGCTCTCATGGATGTTCTGTTACCTTCTAGCAGTTTACCTTTTTTTAAGGGGTTGGTTGGGAACGGTTTGTAGAAAGCTGCTAGCTAGATTTACTGTTCTCATGTAATATTACTAAAAGCAAGTGTACTGGTGAGATTTGAAGAAATCACAGAACCAATGTAGAGTTATGGAGATAGGATTAGTTCTCTGGGGGAAGGTGAAGAACTTTACCATACAGTGAGAAATTAAAAGGAAAGATTATCATATTACTGGCATTTCTTTGTTTCTTTAGGAATATCACCAAAAGTAATAAATAGTTTATATTATAAAGAATTATAAATTATATATATTATAAAGTATATATTATAAAGAATATTACTTGATAACTGGGGGTTTTTTGAGACACAAAAATGAGAAGAAGGAATAGCTATTTCAGATTGATTAATTAATTAGTTTGGCCATTGAGGTTTCATTCTGAATAATGTCTATGCAAAATTACCTCACACGTGAATTTCCTGTCTTGATTTGTGTAGATCTCTTTTCCAATGCGTATCCATGAATTATTAAATACAGAATAAAATTCTTACATTAAAATTATATTACTGATTTTCTGCCAAAATGAAAAACTCTTTTCATTCCTGTGTCTGAAAAACATAATTGGTACCCTGTGTCAGGGCCTCTTAAGTCAAAGAAGTTATCAAAACTTTGTATTTGGACTCTTTTTTTGAGCAGCTAATATACAAAGTGAGGGTGTGGGGGCGTAGCTATAGCAAAGGATCCTAATTGAAAATACTTCAGGTCGGGTTCATTCCACATAATGTCAGGCAATTGAATTAAAGTCTCCTGACCTGCAACGGATTTTATCAGTAGAGGGGCCCCTCCTGCTCCAGTCTTCTCAGAAGGCCAGTTTTTCTGTTGTAGGTACAGCCTAAGATGACTATCCATCTAAGCTGAAGAAAACAGGTCTTAGTTTCTAATTTCATCTCTGAAGTTGTGTGGGAAGCCTTTTATCTAGCGGAACTCTTACTGAGATGTTTAATCTTAATGCTGAAAATATTTGGTATGAGTAGTCCAGTGCTTGCAGTTACTAAAGGTGTTGAACAGAAGCCTTAAACATTTGTGTCTTGGTTTCCATTACATTTGTAAAATTAGGACAACATAATTGTCCTAAAAATTCCGCCCTGCAGAGGTTTCTTCCTCCTCAGACTAGCCCAGAGAAGAGAACTGAGCTTTGCATGCACTTAGCCAACTTCAAAATTCGTTTTACAGAAAGTCAAACTTCTGAATGTAAAATGCCCTGAAACATGTTTTTTCAAGTACTGTAGCCCTCGTGCAGTCAAAAAAAAAAAAATCTCGACTTTGATATTTTTAATTTTGTATTGGATTCTGCATGTTTAGAAACACGGTGCCATTTTCACTCCCAGCAGTGTCTGAGGGTTGTGTTCTGCAGGTTTTCCCTGTGTTTCCCAGTAGGTGGTTTCTGCTGCTGACTCTGAAAAGAGCTGCTTGTCAGACATGTTCATCTGTAACACTGGCCAAACAGTGCATTCCATCTTTATCTCCTCCCTTTTGGCTGACAGGTGGCTTTGACTTTCTGCGGGAATACCAGTCGTCTCCGGTGCCAGACTCTGGCCTCAGCTCCAGCTCCACCTCCTCCAGTATCAGTCTGGGAGGCAGCAGTGGAAATCTCCCACAGATTACACAAGAGGTTGAGGACATGGACACTGCTGCTGAAACAGATGAGAAAGCAAACAAATTAATTGAGTTTCTGACAACCAGGTAATGGAGATAAGCAGAGGATGCATTTGTACAGGAAACACATACTTTCTTGTCTTCTCTACAATTATCTGTAGCAGCTTAAAAGACTCAAAGGAAAATGACTGAGCTTTATAGTAATTACAGACTCCCATTCCTCTTTTATTGATACTGAAAGAAGTAGGTAGGTACTTAAAAGCCCGACAGTGTCAGGAACAACAGAAAAAGATCTTGCCTGACAGGAATAAAATGTTTAATAGACTGATAGTATTGCATTCAACAATGATCTAATGGAAGAAGACAGTTTTATTATTATTAAATAAGATAGGAAGTGTCCAGGGCATAGTGAAAGGCCATGGTGAAACTAATACTAACTATCGACTACAGCCAGCAGATCCTAGGTACAATGGTAAATTAAAGCACAGGGATTTGTTTGTGCTGCTTTCTAAATAGTATAACTTATATTTTAAAAGAGAGGTTTTGTAAAATGCAGCATAGGAATATTTACTTGTATTTTGCTAATAAAATTCTGATCAGTTGCATGTATTCCAAACTATGGCCCTGGAAATATCTAATTGCCTTTACAGTGTATGTATTTTAACTGATTACATTTATTTCAAATAACTCAAATTTTGCACATTGTGTGTATTTCTTTAAGGGCATTTGGGCCACTTTGGTGCCATGAAGATATCACACCCAAAAATCAGAACACCAAGAGCGCTGAACAGCTTACTAATTTTCTGCGTCATGTTGTATCTGTATTTAAAGATTCCAAGTCAGGTAGTAAATTTATTTCCTTTCATAATGAAAAGAATATTCCCTCAAGGTCACAGTGAATGTTGATCCTGTGAATTAGTAGGTCTGCTTATGCAGAAGCACAACATATTGTATGTCTTAACAAGGATGTATGACATATGAAAGAATTGTTTTAAAAAAAATCATGTTAGATTGGAATGTGTCTGAATGTTAAATCGAACATTTCTTCAAAGCTACTGGTAGAAACCCTTTTAATTGATTCTACCAGATAAAAGCTCCTCTCTGTCCTCTTGGCAAAATACAGCACCGTCACTAAGTAAATGTACTTTGTTAAATTTCTTCTGGCAGTAAAAGTTTAGTTTTAATTTTTAGAGTTTTAGATCTTAGGAAATGAACTGATTGTATTTTGAAAACCAACACAGTCACTAATTAAATATTTTCCAAAATCAAAGCAGAATGCAGCATCAGTATTTATATTCAAGATCTTATCCAAAGCCTTCTGAAGCTAATAGAAAGTGGGAGTGTTCAGAAGTTACTGTGTTGCTGCTAGCAATAGTGGATGGCTTGAAAGTTTGTTCAGGAATTGTAAAAAAAATTAAATCAGATTAAGAATTTCAGGTTTTTGTGGACAAACATTTTCAGACTCAGAGTTTTGGTTTTGCAGTTTATTTTTTTGCATTCTGTGTGAAGTAAATGTAAACAGCGGGAAATTCTCCCAAACACAGACTCTTTCTGCATCTCCATTTCTCACAGGGTTTGCAGGATACAGTACAGTGCATATCCTCCCCACAGTTAGTTCAGCCAGTTGATGACCCACAGTAAAATCTGACATAAGGAAAAAAAGTAAATTACATGCTATTCTTTTGTTTAGGTTTTCATTTGGAGCAGCATCTGAGTGAAGTTGCTTTACAAACAGCTCTTTCAAGCTCTTCAAGACATTATGCAGGTCGCTCTTTCCAGATATTCAGGGCCCTGAAGCAGCCACTTTCTGCACATGCATTGTCTGACCTCCTGTCAAGACTGGTGGAAGTTATTGGAGAGCATGGAGATGAGATACAGGTATGCATGTGTACGTAATGCTTCTTAGTACTGTTGGTTTTATGTAATTAATTTAAAATTACCATTTTAACAAGACATTCTGGAGTCAAGTAATACCAAGTAGAATGTGGCCTTAGAAAAACTTAACATCCGAGTTTACTGAATCCATACGTACCTTATCAAAGCCTTCGTCAGACTGTTACAGACCTATGTATCTCTAAAGTGAACAACTAGAAAACAACTAGTAAATGTCACTCAAAATTAAATCTTTGTGATTACCATTTTTTCTGTTTTCACATCATTAATTGGTGCTTAAGGAACACATCATCCTATCTGCTGAGGTAGTATGACAATGTGAAGTAGACACCACCTCATTTCTCAAACGTTAACATCTTTTGGACTAAAGAAACCCACACCATCCATAACAATACAAAACTTGCACTGACCTAATTTGATCCAGTCCTCTCTTAGTGATCTATGATGTTTACTTGGTTTAGCTAAACAAACTGAAATTTTACAATGAGAGACTATTTATTGTAAGCTTCAAGACTTAATAAAGAGAACTTCTAGCTCTTAGTAAGAAATAGGTTGACATCACCTCCATATTTTACTTAGGTAATGAAACTGCCACAAGATGACAGTAATATTCTGTCACAACTGCTTGTGGAGAATTTATGTCAGTGGCCTGCAAGTCAGAGGTTCTGTATGCCATTACCAGTCCCCTGATGAGATATGTGCCCTTCTTGTGTGCCTTCATAGATCATTTAGAGGCAGAAAATAAAACACATTTGTAGTGACATTTTAACGTTCAGGGCCGTGGCACTGATGTGAATGTTGTTCTTTGTTCAGGAGGAAATACAGGTTTTCAGTAGGTGCCCATTTTATGAACTGAAGATTTTTAAATGTTCACTATTTTGAATGTCTTTGTTGAGATGGTTAACCTTGTGCATTGATAGGGGTATGTGATGGAGGCACTACTTACTTTGGAAGCTGCTGTGGATAATCTGTCAGACTGTTTGAAGAACAGTGATCTTTTGACAGTGTTATCACGGTAAGAGCCTGTTCTCCTAACCATACCTTTTTTTCAGTGTCTCATGATATTAAGTGTGCAGTTCTGCAGTCTGACAGCATAAAATAATTTTGATAAGACTCAGCTCATTTGTAACCTTCAGAGAACTAGACTAAGAGCACATCTCAGCCAAATTTTTCAATTCCTGAAATAATGTTTGATACAATTAATGAAACTTTACAATGCGTTGTAAGTTCCACCTTGCTGCCACTTGGCTGTAACTTGCCTTAACCTCCTTTAAAAATATTGTATTTTTGGCATCTTTGTACCATATAGTTGAAAACACTTCTGGGAAGAAACATGGGGTTTGTAATACTGATTTTATACAACCTGTCATTCTCAGATGAAGTATTCCCCAAGAAGTAAATGATCATGGTTTGTTCTCCTCAGTAAAACTAGGGAGAATTTTGTCCCCTATGCACATAACCCGTGGATTTTGCCAGATGTGTAGACCATCTTTAAGAAACCGTTGGCCTTAAGGTAGACCTTGGGTACACGAAGGGAAATTGCAGGCTTCTTCCGTAACACAGCTGTTGGCAGTACTGAGGGACATTAATGTCTGTCTGACTCCTAAATGCAATAACAGAGTAGGGAACGTCTTTGAAAAATGTCCTTAAGTTACCATGCTTTACATTGCAGAACAAAAATACAGGGGCTATCATTTCTGAAGCTAGTAGGGAGGGTGCTATATGTTATACTGCTATGTCAGAACACAAGTATTGCTTGTGACAGAGTAGAGATGGAAAAATACTTTCTAAACTAAGAGCTATTTATCTTTTCTTTAGTGCACATTTCACAAAACAGCAAGATGGAGCAGAAAATAAGAAATACTCCGGAAAGCTGTGGAATGCAATATTCTTTACCCTGACACTATTGATTCCATACGATTCTCTTTAAATATTACCGACAGTAGGGACTTATAGTATATGAGGTAGGAATGGGACTAAAGAGTCAGGAAAATGTCTGTTCTCCAGAACAAACTTCCCTTGCATGTATCAACACAGCATGTTCATTTGTACAGATAATTAATTGCTAGGGATTGTCTGGATCATCATATGATAGTCCACGAGGAGGCATCAATCACTGAAATTGAAACACCTCTGTTTCTGTAAACTGTCTTGAAGAGATCTTAGGATACGGCAGGGGAGGATGCAGTGACAGCAAGGTTTCTGAAGGACCTGTTCTAGCAAGAACCTAGGCAGCCACATTTCTTGAGGATACTGCAGCATATTTGTGGTTGTGTTTAAGATACACTGGTTTTTCTGCCCGCGGTTCTCAGATTAGGCAGTAAGCCATTGTGCATTTTGTCTGCCAGCTGTGCCAAGCTCAGGGTTAGCTCCACTGGTGAGGGCATTTTAAACACCAGAACTATTTTCAGTTCTATCACTGCCCCATTGTGTGGGCATTTCCACAAGTCACTTCACAGCTCTGTATCTCCATGTTGTTCTTACCTATCTAGGCTGTAGGCTATCCGGCTCTGGGGTGCATTGCCACGTGAACTTCACTTCAGTCGTGTCTGTGGACATTTCTGGAAAAAAAAGACAGTCTGCAATAGACAGTGTGGTGTTTTACTTTTCCTATTTAAATACGTATTTACAGTTTGAGAAATACTTAACTTGCATCCAGTATGTATAAGTTTCAAGCTGTGCATTCACACATTGCAATGTACATTATGTATTTGGTTTCAGTTCGTCTTCGCCAGATTTAATGTCAAGCACCAAACTGACTGCAAACCGGAAGAGCACAGGACAGCTGAATGTGAATCCTGCAAGTGGTAACACAGCCACTGCTGAACGAAGCAGGCACCAAAGGAGCTTCTCTGTGCCCAAAAAGTTTGGAGATGTGGACAAGTCCTCAGACCCACCACGCAGTGCCACACTAGACAGAATCCAGGCGTGCACCCAACAAGGCCTGTCCTCTAAAACAAGAAGTTCATCTTCTCTAAAGGACAGTCTCACTGACCCATCCCATATTAACAATCCGACCAACCTACTGGCCACCATCTTCTGGGTTGCTGTGGCGTTGATGGAATCAGATTTTGAGTTTGAGTATCTAATGGCATTGCGGTTACTGAATAAACTTCTGGCTCATTTGCCGCTGGATAAAGCTGAAAACCGAGAAAAATTGGAGAAGTTGCAAGGGCAGCTGAAATGGGCAGACTTCTCAGGGCTTCAGCAGCTACTTCTGAAAGGATTCACCTCCCTTACTACCACTGATCTCACACTACAGCTCTTTAGTTTGCTGACACCAGTGTCTCGAATATCCATGGTGGATTCCTCTCAAGCTATAGGTAAAACCAATATACTTCCTCTCTTTCAGTTTCCATTGCTTTGACATTTGATGACAGGCCTCATTAGGCTATCTGAACTAAACCAAAAATGGCACTTTTTCTTTCTCTTCTAATATAATTTTGATTTGTGCTGGATGGGCTTTTTGGAAATTTCGTAGCAATATAACATGTTTCTGAAAAGTGAATCTGTTGCACAATGAGGTTTTGAAGGAGAGCGGTTGTGTATTTAACATTTCGTTTCAAGAGCTTAGCAGCCTATAAAGTTTCTGAGTGCTGACAAAGTAAACGTATGTAAGGAGATACTGTCAAATTTTCTAGAACATTTTTGGCCAGTTTTTCCACTGAATTATTTTCAGAACATTTCAGATTACTTGATTTTAAGTTAGTCCTTCATGTGATTTTCCCTAGAAATACAAATATAGAAAACTCTTGTACACTTTAGATAAACTGCAATAGCACATTAATGAGTGAGGAGAGAAGCCTGGGTTATAAGGAAATCCCAATTATTTAGCTGAGGTGTTGACTGCTTCTTAATTATATTTCTTGAAGAGAGTTTCTGTATTGCTCCAGGTTTTCACTCCTCTCCTTCAGTCAGAAACACAGGTATTAAGACAGCTGTGCAGGTTTCCCAGCTAACAGAAGGAGCTTAGACACAGAGTAAGGGGATGAATGCCATGAACAGCGTGCCCGTCTCTAAGCACCTGTGTGGTGCCTGTGTCCCAGACTTAGCTGGGCAGTTCGCCCATGGGCTGTGACAGTACCCTCTGGAGGTATCTTCTCCCTGACTGTAGAGGAAGCCTAGGGGAATTACACTCCTAACTTAGCTGACTTGTTTAGTTGTGTAGAACGAGAGGGAATGAATGGTTAGAAAGTAATTTTCTTAGATCAGGTTCTTTCTTTTCAAAAAACAGATTGTGTCCAGATACAATTTCTTGACTTCTGAGCTCTGAGCTCCCACTTGAACTGGAGCAGCTTTTGTTATAGCTCCCTGTTAGTCACTGCCTGTGGTTCATCAACTACCTTGAGCTATGAGCTGGTGCAGAAAAGCTGAATCCCAGCTCCAGACAGAGCCCTTACAGTAATGGCAGTGGCTGGCACTTGGTGCAGGAGCCATCTCCGGACTTCAAAAACACCCATTTGAGTAGTCTCATCTGACCAGTTTTATCAGAATTTTGATTCCTTATTATTATTATTATTGACTTGAACAGTATAAAACAACGGAAGCTGTGCCTGGCAGCCTGTCCAAAACAGCTGTTCATTTATCAATGCTCACTGAATTTCTTTCTGTGTTTTAGCAGCAGTAATGAAAATGTCACCAGTTAAGACTGTCAATAAGCCAGTTAAGTGGAAACGATAACCATACTCTCTAACAGGAATAAAATATATACTTTTGTGAGGTGTTTTAACCTGTTTGTGCAGTAGTGTTTGCAGGAATAATTTCATGCTTTGTAACGGTACTGTTGCTTAAATGATGAAACTGTGACCTCCCACAAAACACCAACTTAAAGATCACTGAGGCTCTTGCTGTCCAAAATATACATTTTGTTCTGTATTTTCCTGTTCTAGGATTTCCACTGAATGTTTTGTGTCTCCTGCCCCATTTAATTCAGCATTTTGACAGCCCAAACCAGTTTTGTAAAGATATAGCCGAAAGGATTGCTCAGGTATCACAGTTACTTACTGTTTTGTACATCCTCAAACCCTGTAAATGCACTCACCTTGTTCTTAATGTGTTTTGACATTTATATTTAATTAGGTTTGTTTGGAGGAGAAGAACCCCAAACTATCAAATCTCGCACATGTCATGACCCTTTATAAAACACACAGCTATACAAGGGACTGTGCTACCTGGGTGAATGTGGTTTGCCGTTACCTTCATGAAGCATTTGCTGATATTACTTTGAGTATGGTTACATATTTGGCTGAGGTAAGTTTTCAAAAACTTTTCACTGTTTTAACTCTTCTGTTTCCCATCAACCCAAAGAGCTGAAGTCTGCCTGCAGATTACTGGGGGCTCTCTGTAGCTGTTATTTGTAATTAAGAATAAAAAGCAGAAATTAGCAGAAAGAAAAGAAATTACTATAAGAAATCAATATTGAACACTAAAACAAAAGCCAGCAAAAGGTCTGCAGGGCTGATACATCTTAAAGCAGCTTCACTCAACAGCTGATCGAACTTTCCACTGTGAAAGAGAGAAACAACATTTATTTAGATCCCACTGAAGAAAAATAAGAGGACTAATTCCAGAAGGAAATAGCAGCATAAATAAGATATCATCTGCTATTTAAGGATCTAGTTCTTGATACAAATTTGTGTGTGTTCCTCTAACACTGAATGACATCATCTTACTTCCCAGGTTATCCCCTGGGCTCATCTCTTACTCCTAACATGGTGTGGAGAGCTGATGCAGTGTTGTTACTGGGGATGCAAAGCTCAGTTCTGCTTTTCAGCATAAGGCACTTGGTTTTCTGCCTCCTGTGTCAGATCGGTATCAGAACACTATTTTCTTGTAGTGTTCTCAAATTTATCCCTTCACTTTCCTGCTGTAGTGAGATGCCTCCAGCCTGCCCTCTCATCCAGGGAGAAGACAGTTCTGTATTCGTGACATAAATTCACTAGCTTCTTTAGAGCAGTTTTGGTTTTCGGAGCAGATTCGTTCTGCCCTCGGGCAAACGGTCTACAAAAAACTCAGCAGGCATCTCTCATACTGGCTATCACAGATTTTCAAAAAGCCTGAGAGGCCAGGCTGTGCTCCCACACTCACTCAAGACTTCAGAGCAAACTTGGTCCTGCTACCTCAAGCTGCAATTCCTCGCCTTGTTTGCACATGGAGGCTCTAAGTAAACAATCATGTTAGATCTTAACTGATGGTGAAAGCCATGACTCTCATGTAGGAGACTAAAACAGGATCTGGAGGTTTTTCAGTCTGTTTTCAAACTCAAAAACTCTGCAGAACTATTAGCTCTTCAAACATGATTCTGAATCCTCCAGACTCAAGTGTCTCCTTCACAGCAGAAACTCATACTCCTAATAAAGAAATTATCTGAAAACTGAGGTTTAAACTCTTTCTCCTTTGCTTTCCCAGCCCTAGGAAAGTGTTAGCCCCTCTGTTTTCCCTTCAGTGCTCTATGTACAGTTACTAGTGCTGCAGCACCTCCACAAAGGCCATTGCATGTGATCTTGCTCCCCTCAAAATGGGTTTAGAAGTGCATCTGGAGACTCTTTGGACTTCCCCTTTACTGTAGATTGGCGCCACTCTACTATATTAACAGCAAGTCAGACAGGTTTTTGACTGTAATTAAGGCACATTCCTCACATAGCACCATCACTGCAGGATGACAGAGTAGTAAGCAGGACTTCCTTTCTCTGTTTTTGCACGGACTGCAGCTCTGTTGAGTCATGTCTGGGGAATATTTGTATGGGCATAGGGTAGCTGCCAGACTGGAGGAGGAGTGAGAGACAAGAAACCATCTTGTTCCACCTGCTGTGGCCGTGGAAAAGATTTTTCCAGCGTTCAGAATATGTTTCCCCTTTTCTTCTTAGTTAATCCCCAGACCAGGATAAACAATGTGTTCCTGTCTCCTGTAAACCAACTGCGGGACATACCGTCAATCATAAAGCTGAACAGATTAACAGCTCCACGGGGCAATCCGCCGTTGAATGTTATAGCCATTGGTTACAGGGCCTCAGGCTATAACGACCCTAGTTCGGTTGCCAGTGCTTGGGCCTGAGGGAAATTGTGAGTAGTGCTGTGCTTAAGAGTAACAAAGGAAATCTGTGTTGCAACAGTGACCCCTCCAAACATACAGGTGTACCTTCAGAAGGGGACTTTCTGCCACAAATTAAGATTATGAGAACAAATGCTCTTGGCAGAAGGTAAAAGCTTCAATTATTGCCATTTAGTCAAAAATTTGCAGTTAACCTATTTGTTGGCAGGTAATTGCTTGTCAGCTAGGGGTATGATCCTGGCATAAAATAAGGCTTTTTGACTGTGCTCTTACCCAAACCTTACAGTGACAAGCAGTGGTCCTTACTCAGTTTTACATATTACAGCTCCATCCATGAAAAATGATCATTTCTTCTAGAAAAATACCTGGGAATCTCAGTCTATAGATAAGGAAAAATCACTATTTAATAGTGCAGTAGAAGTTTGAACCTCCACTACCAAAATCAGCATACAAACACATTACTGAAAGCTTACTTTGATTTTATGTTAGATTTTTGCATATTAGTTTTTAAAAATCAACCTTGTGCCACGAGAGCACGGTCATTCTAGGAGCTTATCTCAATTGACATGCATCACCTGTTAGACTAGTGATTCGATAAGTCCAGGGTCATGCTTAGACTTAAATAGCTAATGCTATTAATACAGAAGAAGGGACAAGAAGCCACATAGTGCATAACAACATGCTCATGGTAGATGTTGCCTCCTCCTCCCTGTTAGATGGAGGATTGCTTGTGATAGAAGCATGAGCATTCATTACCTGTTCAAAACCAAGGAATCACTAGAGATTAAAACACCTGTGTTGCAAGGGGAAGCATGTCTTAAATCAGGCATTATCCCACTAATGGCTTGTCTGTCAGACATGGCTGGTGAAATGCCTTCTTTATTTCCTCAGTGGACACAGAAAACATTTGTTTGACTGACCAATGCAGCCTAAGAGCTGAGTATCTCTTCTCACCTGCTGCCAGATTTGGAGAGGCAAAGGGAACTGTAGTAGCACCCCAGCAGCAGCCAGCCCAGGCAGCCCCTGAAGGAGCAGGCTCTGCTCTCCGTCTAGTTCTGGGTTAGTTGCTACTTCAGGAAGGGGGCAGATGTTGCTATGGACTGTGGATCCCTAAACCCAGATAACACCCAGATAGTTAACACACACTAACAAGGGAGGAATCCACAATTCTTCAAAACAGTTCATATGGGTCAGAGTCAAAAAAAAACAAAAAAAAAAAAAAGGCTGAGAACAGTTATGATTTCTTCTCGGAAATACGGTGGAAACTCTTTGTCCTGGAACTCACTGATCCAAATGATGTGTTACCACAACTCCATCTTGCTGCTATTTTTGTTACTTCTGGCAGCAGAAGAATTCTTATTGTACTAAATGCATTTTAAAGTTGCTGTTCTTTTTTTAAACGGAAATACTCCTTCTTGTAACAAATTCATGATGTATTTAAGTACACACTTGAACTATCAACCACCAGGTATACTTATCTGAACACACGAAGACTGGCACAGTCCACAAATGTTTAGAGTTTAAGGGCCAAGAGCTGTTTAAATCAGAGGATTCTGTTGAGAACAAATTCATACAAACTGGAATGGAAATTAGAAGCTTTCAGAGATAAAGTTCCTAGAACAGCTTTCTAACCAGCAATAGAGACAAAATTCCCATTATTTCCCAAGAACTGCTTTTCTTGTCACAAAAATTATTATCTGATGCATTAGCCTCTGTCAGAGAACAAAAAAAAATTTTCGTCCAGATAGTTTCGTTTAATCCTTTACACCTACACTGAAATGCTATACTGGCTGATGTGCTGGGTCATATAAACTATTTACAAGGAATTCAAACTTTCCATTGCAAGATCCTAATGGAAGGCAAGAAAAAGTCTGTAACCATGTTTTGAAGAAGAGTTGCTAAGCACGTTTTATCTGTCAGTACAGGTAACCATGGGCTGAAGCAAGTTACCATGTAGTACCTTTAATTTAAAAATTCTTGCTGTCTTTTTATAGAGGAATAGATAAAGCACAGTGAGTTCCATCTATTGTGCTGTTAATGAATTTTCCTGCTTTGATTTATGAATCACTGCTACTCACTTTTACTGATGAGTGAAATCAGAAGATATTTAGCAGGATGAGCTAGGTGTGTGTCCTACCTGATCATTCCATTTTGGCTGGCATGAAGCATTCTTATTCAGTAAGAAGAAGCACTTTGTCATTCCAGCCAGGGAGGTCATCTAATAATTACTGAACTCCACTTGGATGACAGTTGAAATTTTTCTCTGATGGAAGACATGAGGCAGCATAGAGTTTTTATATGTAATTGTTTTCTAGTTCCTAACATCTCTAGTGACCGATGTTAGAAGAACAGTTTTGTTGGCCTGAATGGAAGGTTAGAGTCTAGTCTTGAGCCTCTGGTAACCTCTAGCAATAACATATGATTGCCTCTGAAATTTGTGGGGTGGGACAGAACCTGTCACCAATGAAACAACGTGCTACCTTCCAGGAAATTTTCAGCTGAGATATTTCACACACATGTGCAAACGTAGCGTGGCTGTCTGTATGCCTCCTGAATTACTGTCATGTAGATATATGAGCACAGTTGGATTTCCAAGGTTCATTATGGTATTCCGGGATCTACACTTAGGTGTTCCAAAATTCCGGGATTTAGATCAAGCCCTTCTTTTTATAAGCCTCTACAGTAAGAGAGCCCAGGGACTCCATCTCCTCCTTAACAGAAAGTGTTTCCTTGGCAGTTACGGCCAGTGAATGCTGGCAGTGAAGTATATTTGGATAAATATATATTGATGTTCTGAATAGTAGTAGTTTTGTTTCTTCAGCATGTTTTCTTTTTCTCACTGACTTTCAGCAAAGGTAGACATAAAGAGATACTCCCCTGTTTTTGTTGGATGTACTTCCCCAATTACAGTGTAAATTTTACCTACCAGTTTACTCAACTGCTGAGTGTGTTTTCTGGGTAAGTTAGGGCAGGCATACACAAAATGTTTGTTTCATTATCAAAAGAGGCTAGCATTTGGCTCCCAACTTAAAGCTCTTTTTTATTTCACACTTGTATCATCATGACTTGTAAAATAATTGTAAAATGGCATTGCAAAATCAGTGAGTGAAGAGAGATTAACAGTACAAATGGTATGCATTAAACGAGTAGCTTTTTCCATAAGAAGAAATGTCTCAAAATTTAGTTATTTTCACTCTTTTTTTTTTAACAGCTACTAGAAAAAGGACTTCCGAGTATGCAACAATCCCTCTTACAGATGATCTACAGTCTTCTTAGCTATATGGACATGTCAGCTATCCCGATGAAACAGTTTAACGTGGAGGTGCTAAAAACCATTGAAAAATACATACAGGTAAATGATCTTCTTTCTATTAACATAGGAACTTAGCAGTATTTACTGCCATAAGTTGATTTTCTTTATAAGAATTTAAGACTAGGTTATACTGTGACTGTCCAGGATGGTATCTAGTTTATAAACATCCTGATGCCTCATAGTCTCCGCTTCCACAGATAAGATGTCCAGCTGGGTGTTCACAGAGTGGGAAGGGTTAGGCTGCAGCTACAGTACATCAGGAGCAAGCTTAATACCAGGCAGAGCCTGCCTGACTGCTCGTTTTAATTATTAGCACAAGGGAGATGTGGCATAAGCACTTATCTTCACAGACTTCCGCATCTAGTTCTTGGCAAGTGGAAAATACATAGTTCTACTAGGGATTCACAGCTGTAAAGAGCCTGTGTCAAGTCAGGTTTTCTGTTAAATGGGGATTCTGCAATGGCCTTTATATTTATTCGTACAGATTAAGGCATTCAGGTAGGAGATTTTAAATCCCTTGATAGTCCCAGGCTGCAGGCCAATTCCCCAACGCTAACACCTTAGGCAAGTCTTGGTCTCTGCTGTTGAAATTGTTCTGCAAGTATGTGCCTTGTCACTGTCCAAGAGAGAGAGAAAGAATAGTAATATTCCGATTTCACTTTTTTTTTATGTGGCAAACAATATGACTGTAAAGTGTAAATAATCTTGAATGTGTGTGAATCTTTCTTTCTGTTTGCTGATTAAATATATGTATTTCTAGAGCATTCACTGGAGAGAAGCCTTGAATATCCTGAAGTTGGTGGTTTCTCGTTCTGCCAGTTTAGTTTTACCATCCTACCAACACAGCGATCTTTCAAAAATGGAAATACATCGAGTGTGGAACAGTGCCTCCAAGGAGCTACCAGGGAAGACTTTAGAGTTTCATTTTGATATTTCAGAGGTACTATTTGTTATTCTGCTATTAACAGCTTAATTCTGTTATTTGACAATCCTAAAGCATGTATTGCAGCTCCTTAAGAAAGCTGAAAAATTAGGAAAGAAAGGGAAATTACCAAACTGAAATTCTCTTAAATTATTTTCAATTCACAGTGACATATTTATTGACCCATGCTGGAGGGCTCTTTCTGGATTTTTACTAGATTTTTTTTGTGAAGGAATTGTAAAGGAAAAAATAATTCATGTATTTAAAATTATCCGGTGGAAAAGCTGTGTTGCACTTATGCAACCTGTAATATGTACTATATGTATAAAATCCCCCTCCAAGCATTTTATACTTGGATGCCAATATTCTCTCTAACTGTTAAACACAGAAATATGTCCTTTAAGCAAGTACTGCCTGACTTCTGACTGAACACTTTTACAGCAGTCTTTATCCTGCAAACCCTGTACACCTTTTAACTTTATAGAACTGAATGGTCCTATTGACTTTAATGGCAACTCACTTTATTTATAGTTATGAACTGCAGGACTGTTTGCAGCATTATAGATGATTTCATATAGATAATAGGCAGATTTTGAGGTTAAAAGGAAATATGAACATAAAAACGCATCTTGTACTATTTGTATAAAGAGTTTCTTCATGCTGTTTCATGTAGGTAGAGTTATAGAAAATACTAAGCATCCTATTGTCAATCCAAGAAAAGTGTTTTAGTGTTTGTGTGAACAGGGCCTAAGTGTTCAGCACTCTTAGGAAAAACCATTAAAAACATGTGCAAGAAACGTGGATTTGAAAATAAATTTCATAAGCTTTCTGGGATTTTTGCTGGTTCTTATGTTAAGAAACTGGTTTGACAGTTGCTTTGAATATTTGCTATTCATAAACATAAGGATTAGCTCCTAAGTATGGCAACGTTCACAGTGGAAAATAACATACATACCAAGTGACATGAAATTTGGTGCCCTCCTTGTTTTACCCCTGTATATGATCTTCAGAGTAATCTTTTCCTGCAACTGAAGCAATACGGCCTATGGTAAATTCATCCTAGAGCATAGTATTAGTGAATAATTACTCTCTGTTTAAGACTCCAATTATTGGGAGGCGGTATGATGAGCTGCAGAGTTCTTCTGGACGAGATGGTAAACCCAGGGCAATGGCTGTCACCCGAAGCACTTCTTCAACCTCATCAGGATCTAACTCCAATGTCCTTGTTCCTGTGAGCTGGAAGAGACCCCAGTACTCTCAGGTAACCTCCTTTTAAGTAGCCTACTATTCATTAACAAGTGGCACTCGGAGCTGCGGATTTAATGCACACTTAGGTTCTTAAATGCTTGTGCCCTGTGCAGTGCTGCTGGGGCAGGGCCAGCGCAGCATCTGACTGTGTGTGCTGAATGTCTTTCTTGGACTCAGAAGTGGACTGACTTATGTCTGTCTTCTATCCTGCAGGAAATGCATCTCTAAGACCTCTAAGTCTAGGTCAGATTTAGCTAAGAATGACAAGTGAGTTCAGGTATTAGCAAGGAGAGCAGATAGACAGTATGTGCAACTTCCTGTGTGTTGTTTTCTTGGGAAATCAGGTGAAAAGAATTCCTTGGAACAGTTTTCCCAAAAGTGATGTTTGAATATCCTATTGGTTTTGGTTATCTGCCAGTTAAAATAAAACCATACAGAATAAATGTATTTGTTGCCTTTTTTTTTAATATGGATGATTATATAGCAGTGACTCAGGCCCAATTCTGCAAAAAATAAATATGCAAGTGCTTAATTTTAAGCTTCCAGACTGTCCTTTTGAAGCGATGCATAGGATCCAATGTTTTCTTATTATGTTCAATAGAATTAATAGGCTAATTTAAAAATTATAAACACTAAAGTCACTGCTATTTTTATGTTTCCTTATATGCATAGCTGCTCTGAAAGCAACCCTTTGAGCACTTAATGACTAATTCTTTGGTTGGTTCCTCCTAATTAAAAATTGTTAATGTATGTTTCTAGCCACCAGGAGAATGGGTGGTTAAAAAAAATTCTCACTTGAGAAACATCTTGTTTTCTAGAAAAGGACAAAGGAAAAGCTTGTGCATGTCCTTTCTCTGTGTGGTCAGGAAGTTGGGCTGAGTAAAAACCCTTCAGTAAGTAGCCTTGTATTGACCATTCCTTTGTTTCATTGTGTCCTAAACTTTACAAGTGAAGAACTTTGTTTCACGGTGTTGCTGACCTGATTTGCATAGTTTCGTACCATATTACTATCATTGTCATTTGTACTGGCCCACACTGCGTTTCTCAGCATATAGACCAGTGAGTGAATGGCCCTTTGACTTTGAGATGATTTACTTGCAGAGCTCCATAGGGTTTTCTCTGAGAGATCTGATGGTATAGATTTTACTGATGCCATCTCAGTGGCTAGAGAGTAATGACCTCTGGTATTAACAATCTAGAGCCTTTATAAAGTAAAATATTAAATTACAGGGATAAAATGGAGGGGGGCGGTGTATCTGATTTTTCCATCAGATAGTAGTTCTAATGTTGCTCTTTAAAAATTAATATTATCTGGTGCCAGGAAATGGGTAATAGATCATCCAGGGTGGAAGCTCTTAAAATAGTTATTAAATATTTTCTACAGAGAAAGGAAAATTTCTGAATATTTTTGAATATGTTGTATGTCACTTGTATTATGGTGAACAGGTCCTTCATTTCTGCAAGTCAGGGACCGTTGCATTTTTGCAGCTAAATTGCAGGTATAATTAATTTTAGTAGGAAAGATAAAATTACAGCTTGTTGTGTTTTCTAATCTTGATGTATTTTTAAACATCATTTTAACTAGAGATTTTTTGATTAACTTAACTGTCTCATGCCTTGACAGTATTTTTGTTGCTAAGTTCTCTGAATTTTGTTCCTCTAAATGTATACAAACATCCAGGCAACATCAATCTGCAGCCATTAGGAGGTAGCTGTAATATTCTTGGATGCGTTCCTGCAGTATGAAGTTGTTTCTTTGTACAAGTTTAATCTGAAGGCACCTGTCCAACATAAATAATAAAGAGTGTTCTAAAAATACTCAGTGAAGGAATTAGGTGTGTACTGGAAATACAGTCTTCCGAATAACCAATTACAGCTTTTAGGAAGAAACAACCAGAGGGAACAGTTTGTTACAAGAGAAATCCTTTGAATTGTAGGTAATTTTTTCTTCCTGTGGTGATTTGGATCTGATTGAGCACCAGACAAGCTTGGTGTCTTCAGAAGACGGAACAAGGGAGCAGGAGAACATGGATGATTCAAACAGTGAACAACAATTCAGAGTCTTTAGGGACTTTGATTTCCTAGATGTTGAGCTGGAAGATGGGGAGGTACAGTATATTTTCTTTGAAACAGCTTTTTTGTTGAAACAGTTTGATATTCTTTCTACTGAACTCTGTACTCTTCTTGTAGCATAAAACTTAAACTGTATAACTGTAAGCTTAGTTTTGAGTTGAGATTATTTTTAATGTTCAGTTAGTGTTTATTTCAGTAGCGTAACAGTGAGAGGCTACCACACCCTTCCTTTCTGAATCTACTTTAGGAAACACTGCAAAACTGTTATGGGAAGATAAAGCCTCTGTTCTAGTACCTTTTAAGTGAATTTACTTTTAAGTGAATTTATTTTAAATACAATTTTTAAAGGTCTAAATTGTTAACAAAAATATATTTGCTGATTAAAAACCCATAAAATGAAATTGTTCCAAATCTATTGGTTCATGACTAACCCTCCAAAACATGAATTCAGGCCTTCGGGCTGTTGTTACTCCTGCAACTGCCAATGAAATCACTAATGTTTAGAGAGATGTACCTTCCACTCTGCTTAGGTGTCTGTGATTTCATCATTTCATGCAGGAGCTAAACAGAACCCTGAGGGCCCAAATCAAGTCTTGACAGGTTAAGCCTTTCAGCTCACCTTGAGCTGAAACTGCTGAAGGGAAAAAGTTGAAGAACTGCAGAATTTTAGGAGGCTACACCCTTTAACCTTGCTTCTATCAAACTTGGAGTATTTCTTTCTATTTGGTGGGGAAGGCCAAAAATGAATATCCATTACCAGTCTAACAATTTTGTTGGTATTTAAAAGTTCAGAAATTGTTAGCTCTTTTGAAGTACTTAAGGTGCAGATGTTCAGCAAACCTAACAGTTTAATAAATTATCTTGTCATAATCTGGACTTGATTTTAACATGAATTCTCTCAGGCATTGCTCTTAGCCCTGAGAAGAACATGTGTACAAGAAGAAATAATCAGTTTTGTCCCTAGTTGAATTACAGTGGTAAAATAATTTTAAGGTAAACAGACCCCTCAGCTGTGAACTCATGTACATCTGAATTTTAATTTTTTTTTCCAATGAAGAGAAAGGGTGAAGGAATGGAAAGAGATGTCACAGAGTTCTTGTTTTCCAAGTCAGGAATCTCTGTATCAAAATATAATAATTCCGACTCACAGCTGCCCATGACTTTGCTGGAAAAAAAAAATCAACCAAAAAACCCCAAAAAAACAAACAAACCACCAAACCAAACAAAACAACACAAAGCAAAAATTCAGATGGCATCAATATTTGAAAATACATTAGCCAAATATTATGAAGCATCTTGAATGTTCCAAACACTGATAAATGATGAAACAGCCATGCCAGGTTGTTAGTCAAAAAGCATATCGGCTGCAATCATTTCTGTGTCTTAAATGCCTTCAAGGTATTACGAGGACTTGGTACTGCAATTCTGACTAAATATCACATGATAATTTTTTGTCCAGTGAAATTCAGGAATTTCTTCTTTCTCTTTACCAGTTAAAACCATATACAGCTTATGTATAATTGTGCAGAACAATTCCTATCAAAATGAGTTTACCTTCATGAAATGTGACCCTGCAAAGATTTGTTTTATACGTGCAGCTAACTTCAAGACTGAGGCCTAAATTAATCGATACACTAATTGTCTTAAGTTGGTTGTAGAACAGATTCTAAGCTTGTCTAGTTTTGTGTGAAGTAAAATGAAAAGTGTAGTCTTTTACTTAATACAGTTTTTAAATTACCATGGATCTGAGACCTTGCATTCCAAGGTTTAGTCCAGACTGAGTTACTGTTCTTCTCAATACATAGATACTTCAACCAAATTCAGACCTGGTGTAAGAGGCTACTTCTCTAATGACTGAGTTGAAACTGTATCATTTATATCGGGTCTGAATTTTATACACTCATAAACATGAATAAAACAGTGTTAGAAAACCTAACCTAGCAAGAGCACAGTCTTTCAAAAAAACCCATATGATTTAAACAGGCCAGTGATGCTTGTATCATCTCCACACCACAAGATGTACTTGTTTGAAATTTTACAAAGATGTGAAAGCAAGTGATGATTATTTTCAAACTTAAGAGATAGGCTGAAGAGTTGAAGTTTCTGTGATCATATTAGCTACAATTGTAGGCAAATGTTTGTCTATGATGTCTTTAATACAGAAATTTTACATAGATTCTTTCTATTTGTTTTTCTATCTGTTATATCTGCTACACAGGAACTTCAGGTAAGAATGCTACTTGAACTCAGATGTGCCAGCATATGTTATGCCTTCTTGCAAATTTGTATTATAGAATAACATCATAGTTTTGTTGTTGCCCTCCCCCTCTTCAGTGTGTGTGTAGGTGAGTGCGTGTGCGTGTGCTTGCACTTCTGACAGGTGCTTCATTTTTTGTCTTGTACTAAAAATACTTTTTAGGTCTTTTTCAAAAACTCTGCTTCATTTTAAGTTTGTTTTTGACATGTTCAACAGTCTTCACAAATTTTAAAATACCTTTAATTCCAGTATTAGCATTTTTCAGATTGAGACATTTCTCCTTTTAGTATCTTTGTGCATAAATAATATGTAGAAACAAAAGAAGAACTTCATTGTTTATAATATAGTAAAGTTTGTGCCATTTGTTTCCATGGGCAAATTATATATAATTGCCAGCTTTTCAATTGTGGTATATTTGCTCCTGTTAGCATTTTGCTAAAGCTGATACCTGAGACCTCTTCAGAAAGTTTCCATCATTGCCTACCAGCCCAAATTTAACTGAATAAATAAATTAATTCATACAGCTTAGGATAATTCAGCTGTATACTCCTGTCAACTTTGCTGGACTCTTTCACCCTGTGAAGAAGACTGAAAAGGTGTTATCAGTGATTGCCAATTTGGCACCTAAACTTGCAGTTTATCAATATATAGAGAGAAATGAAATGATACAGACAAAGGATTTTTTGGGGGGTTGTGTTTTTCTCAAAATTCCTCTAAAAGATACAACTACATGGAAATAGTGCCTTACTGTGCACGTCCACAATACTTTTGCCTGTACCCTACGATATTTGTGTGACTCCATTAACTTTTCATACTGTGTCAATACAGTAAGGATAAAAACTTGTGTGAAAGAAGTTTTGCCTGATTCTTACCAGCTTTATGGAGGAGCTATGCTGGTCTCCCCCACATAGGGTTACTTCCCTTTTTACCGCTCTTTCTGTGTCTCTCCTTTCCGCTGGATTGTCGTAATGTTTAAAGTGACTGCAAGGGCACATCCACTCCTTTACTAGAGGGTGGTGATTGTTCTGTGGTCACAGATCTGGGAAGTTCTATGTGGTACCTGCTCACTGCTGGGCAGATACATTTATAATGTGTGACTGTTTTCTTTTGAATTGATGTTTGTTACTGGTGGCTTTTCAGATAGCAGCTAGCTTTCCTCCCCCTCTAGATAAAATGAACACCCTCTCAAATCTTCCCTCCTTCTTGTTAACTGTGACAGAAAGATTGCTTACAGACTATAAAAACAACAACTCCATCTTTGTCAAGGTGTTGACCTCTTGTTTAAATTCAATATGATTCTGAGTGCCCCTGTAGCAAGCTTACACTAACTCAAATACTCTGGGTATTTGGGTTATACTGTGTTTCATCTCTCTTACCCTTTCCCTCACTTTTAATTCACTCCCCCTTCTAACTGCATGCGCTGGAAGTGTCCTTCTCATTTTTCTTCTTTTTGCTGGCTTCCTTCTTTAAGACATTGCAAAATGAAACTGCAACAAGAAATATTCCCATAGACATGGGCTGCAAAGTGCACTGGTAGCTGTACTGGGCATCATGAGGATCAGGGTGTGATGATGGTTGTCTTTGCTTGCTTGCTTATTTATGTCATTTTGTCATGTGTTAGTTCAGTAACTGATGTGTTTGTGGAGGATGTCTCATTGCTGCATGTGTCCTCCAGCCTTTGCAGGGGAGGATGGACAACTGAAGAATTTTTTTAAATAAATATCTGGGAACTGAACAGTCATTTTTATGATTTAGAGACCTAATTTCTTAAATACTAGATGTGTTCTGTTCTCCTCCCGCACAAAACCACCATATGATCCCAGTCGCAGAAGGAAAACACGGGGTTCTTCCAATAATGTGTCAGGCTTTGTAACAATTTCATGTTCATTTGCTCTTGAAAATAGTGCATTCCTTAGTCTAAATGTTCTTGTGGATTATAATTCTTGTATTTCTGGATAGTCTTTTTCCTAAAAATTCTTTTTTTTATTCCTCATATTTGTTCATGAACAGTGAGCTTAGTGTCCGGAAACTGAACTTTCCCTCTTTCTAATCGTATGCCACAGTCCATTGCATTAAAGGGCAATGGTGCAAAATAAGATCTATTTATGCAAGTTTGTTGATTGTTAAGGAGGTAAGATTGCAATTGAATTAGTTGCACTTAATGCAGTTTAGTCCCCATTCAGTAAATGTCTGACTAGTCCTGAACGGATTACTCAAGAGTTTAAAATTACAAATCTGCTTAAGGGACCTTACTGAACTGAGACTTCTTTCTCTATGACTGCACATAATTTTAACCTGCATAAACCCAGGAGATACTCATAATCAGTGATTTGATAATAATATTTATGATTTTTTAGGCAGAACCATATTTTTGTCAAATTCATATTTAGAAGATCACTGTCAACTTAGATTTTCAGCAGTTGGTTTGCTCGTTTAAGAGTGTTGCATCTTGCAGAGTCTTGTTTTAAACAGTCAGTCCTGGACCTTAAAAAGAAACATTTTTCTCTATAAATTTCCTTCCCATGTTGATGTAAGGTTGAGGGCTTTCACCTGAAGTACCCCAAACTGCAACTGGATGCTTCTGCATAGACCCTTCATGCTGTGTAATGCCCCTTTGGCCTCTGTGGGTTCATGACAGGAGCAGTCGTGGACACACTCCTGCATTTGCTGGAGATGAACCTGTCTAGACTTGAAGAAGGGAGCAAGAGAATTAGCGCAATTAGGGAAAAGGGATACAGTTCACTGGAAAATACGTAAAGCAAACAAATGGAAAAATGGTGGAAAACTAATTGTAATTTTTTTACATGAAAGAAATCAAGTGATTTTTGTTATCAGTTCACCAGCCTAACAAATAAGTACGCAATTTGCTTAATGCACTTGGCTTTATGTAACTGGGTGTGGGATCAGAACTGAAAGACAGTATAAAATGTTTGGTCCATTTGACTTTATCCCTTTTAAAACATGAAATCTCAAGTGATGCTAACCAGGTTATTCTCAAAGTATCATTTCAAATAATTCAGATAAATTCAAGTTACAAAGATAAGCAATATGGGCCTGGAATGAAAGTTTAAAGAGGTATGCTACTTTAGCTATTACATTTTGTGCGTAAATGAAAGGTTCATTCAAATCTACTCATCATTATGGTTATATGTATATGTATATATCTATATAATGCATATAATATATATTATATATGCAATATAATATATAATCTAAAACCTTTAACATAAGTTTTGCAATTGAACCATTGTTATGAACTGTGCTCCTAATACTTTGAAACATCATGGAAAAATCTTTAAAATTGCTTCCAAACTTTTCTTTTGCCTGTCGTTGCTCCACTGGTAGCGAGATGTGTGTTTATGTGGACTTACAAAAATGAATTCTTAAATCAGCAAATGCATGAAAAACATCTAATACTGAAAGGAATGAATCTTCATTTAACTGTCATTTCCATGCTTCTGCTCTTATCTCCAGGTGAACAAACAAAATAATGCTTATATGAAATTTGAACTATATTTTTACATAAAAATATTTCTTGAGCTAACTTTAATCTAATGATTAGTGGTTTGTATATGATGAATTTCAAGTCAAGGTAGCTGACCCTATATCTGATTTCAGGGTGAAAGCATGGACAACTTCAACTGGGGAGTACGCAGACGGTCGCTGGATAGCCTGGACAAGTGTGACATGCAGCTGCTGGAAGAGAGCCAGCTCTCAGGGAGCACGCCCAGCCTGAACAAAATGAACCATGAGGACTCTGATGAGTCATCTGAGGAAGAGGACCTGACCACCAGCCAAATCTTGGAGAACTCAGACCTTGTAAGCTGCAAACTTGCAGTTTAAGAAAAGATAGGATTGTGTTTTTAAATAAGCTGGGCTTTTAGTTTCCTCTTGCCCAGGTGCAATCTAATCAGCTGAAATTGGGGGGGTGACACTCAATGTGGTGTTTTGTCACGACTTGGTTTTCCCTTATTTGTAGATGTAAACAGGAATTTTAATGCAAAGTCCAAAACACAGGAAACACCAGATCTGAGAATTTGCTCTTTTTTCCACAAATTACTCTGTGACAATTTTGCACGATTGGCCAGTAGTAAATCTTTCTGATGTACCTAATACTTAAAGAAATAGGACAAGACTCCAGTTCGGTAAACTGTGTCAGGTTTTCATTGTTCACTTTGGGGTGTTTGCATACAATTTTTATGATAGAAATATTGAAAGGGTTGTAGTATATCTGCACACACAACCTAAGAGAGCCACTGTCACTGCCCTTTAAGACAGTGTCTGCTTTGCACATTCAGAAAAGCAATGTGTGGTAGGGTAGCTGTATACTCAGTTCTTCTGTGCTTTTGTTGTCTTTTAAACAGATTATAAATCTTTCCCCATCTGAGGATACAAATCATATTGACTCACTTTCTACATCATGTGACACAACCTCAGCAGACCCTCATCATTTTAATATAGAAACGTCCAGCTTTGATGTGTCTTTGCCTGATATGAATAATCTCCAGGTGTCTGAAGGATCCAAGGTGAATACATTTTTACTTTCTTTTCCAACTGGACTGTATTTGACATACATACTTTTACAAGTTTATTTTACTTTCATGAAGGGTTTGATCTGTGAAAGCAAGTACATTCTGACTTCCTGTATGTAACGGCATAATACAATATATTCATATGCTCCTGCATATTCATACCCTTTCCTTTCTACTTACACTTTCTTCATTAAAAGATTTTATTTATTGTTTCTTAAGTATATTGCAATACATACTCACCAAGATGCTAGAAGCTCATTGGAAGGCAAATTCATGAACTGGCCACAAGTTACAACCCTAAGGGAATATTCTTCTGTTCTTCATGCTGATTTAAAAGAATGATATGCCAACTCATGTGGTGGGTGTAAGCGTGTATTCTCTGAGATTTTTTTCTATGTGGGAACCTATTGTACAGTTGTGTGCACTGGATTCAGTTCTTGCCTTTTGGCAGACACTCAGAAATTTTAAATTCATGACCGCAATATTAAGCCATCTTGGGGGGGTGGAGAGGCAGGGTTTGCAAGGATACGACGACCATGTTCAGCACAGTTTATTTCAGACAGTTGTATCAGAAGATGAACATAGAGTAAGGTTGGTAAATGATTATCAATGTGGGGATGGTTTCTTTAATTTTCTGTTTGATAATACTTGTTTGTGGAAGATCAGGTGAACCTACTCCTCTCAGTATCTCTCCAGAAATATAATCTGGGGCCGGGCGTGTGTGTGGGCTAGTGGCTTTATGACACTGTTGCCTTACCAGTAAAGCTTTCTCTGTCATATCTAAACTGGGTGACTTCTGCAGAAAGAGCAGTGTAAGAGAATGGGGCAGGGGTAGAATATGTCTTGTGTTATCATCGACTTTCGTTCTAGTTCTTGCCCTTGGTCCCCTCCAAGTGCAGCCACACAAAAAGTTTATGCAGTACTGCTAGCACTGCATATAATGGAAGTAATGGAAACTTCTAGTGCAGAAGTCATAGAAAAGGAGGTTGGAATTGTGCTGAATATTGAAGAAATTGTTCATGTCAGACGCCTCCCTAGCAGGAAAAAAGGACAGGAGAATCGAAATGTGGGTAAGGATAGGAAAGGAGGGGAACCTCTCAAAATAATGGCTGCGGAAAAAGTAAACTCATTATCATTTGTCAAAAGAACTGTTGGTAGACAAGTTACCACGTAATAACCATAAGCAGCAGAAGTTGGCAGAATTTCAGTTCAGGAAGCTGCAGTCAGAACAGATTACTTTGCAGGTGGTGACTGCAGCTAATCTCATGCATCCAGCTGCAGTAGCTATTGGTCTGTACATTAAGAATTGCAAATCACAGTTCGTGAGTTCATATATGCCTGGGGGTTTAGAATCTTTACCGTGAAAATTTCTATAATGTCCCAATACCCATGTGCCAGTGTTCACCAAAAAATGAAAAGCTTTGGAAAAAGTAAATAAGTGAAGAATGGAGAATCACGGAAGTTTGTTGTGGGATTGAAAGGCAGATTCAGGTAGTCCTGTGACAGATTTGATACTGGTGAATACATAACCCAAGCTGACAGGGATTTGCCAGTGTTACAAAGATGTTTGGGTTGATAAGCTTTACGCAGAATGCCTTCTTAGTGTTTTTTGGCTCAAAGATGTTTTCTTCTAGTATGCATATTTCTGTATTTTTACTCAAATTGGAGTCAGTATAACCAAAGTTAAAATGCCTGCTTTTATAGTTGTTTTAAGGATGAAGTCATCCAATTTTTGGTCAGAAAACTTGCAACTTGCGCCTAAATAATTTTTACTTAATTTGATAACACAAAATCTGAGCTCTTTCCTGTTCCTCTTTTCCTCTGAGTTCTTATTTTCAGACAGTTGATGGTATGCCATCAATGCAGAGGAAATTTTTTTTTACTTCTTTAGTGCCGTACAAAAATGTTTAGTTGTTGCATCATAAGCAAAAACAAAAATAGCACTTCATCTTTTAAATAGATGCAGTGAATGAGAGCAAGAAACTGATTAAGTAGGCCTCTTTTCAAATGTTTCATTGCCAAAATTGAGGCATTATTTTAATGGCATGAAATTAGTTAAACTTATTTTCTATTAAAGATAGTGATCACAATAATTAAGATAATATTTATAAGAGATTAGAAGGCAGTGATAGATAATGCTATGAGGGATACAAAGATTCAGATTATGCTGATTTATATATTTTTCAAGTTATCTAAACTCACCAGTTTCTGGAGGTGTGCTCAAATCCTGCATGAATATTTGTGGTCCACTTTTTTATTTTGCTTTTTGTGCATCATATTGGACTGCAGTGGGTGGGAGGTGTTTTCTTCCTCTTTCTTCCTCCCTTACCCTATCCCATCAAAAAATGTTTTCTCGTACAAACACTGTTATGGCAGTGAAAAAAAACAATGATTCTTTCAAGCTAATAGTTCATATTTCAAAGTTGTTAATACTAACTACTTCTTGAAGAAGTATGAAACATTTATGCTTCTTGCCAACTGCTCTGATTCCTGTTCTGGTAATTCAGCCATCTAGCTTTCATTTCTCTTTTCAAAATGGTTTGTGCTCTGATTCATTTCATCCACCCTGGACTTAGGAATGTTCCTATCCCTTTTGCTTAGAAAACAAAACAAACCAAAAAAACTTTCTCCTACTTAATTTCTGATCCTTTTTGATACAAGTCTTGTTTAATTTTTAGAAATGGAACCCCCCAGAATTTATCTGTAGGATCCAGGTCTGGTAACTTGCAGAGGGCCACTTCTCTGTTTTAATTCCACTTGCCACAAATTTCCCTCCCCACTAGCTCCCACCACATGTATGTACATGTGTTTGTGCGCATGTGCACAAACACATACCTTATGAGACATCCCAAACAGAAAAGATAAAGTGTTTGAGCTACCCGCCACGATCATCCCTACAGGGACTGCTTCACATGATGCAGACAAAAGCCAGAAGATTAAAACTGAAACAAAATTTGTTCAGACTAAAAATGCAAGAGAAATTGAAAAGTTTCAAAAAGAAATCAAGAGCTTTAGGTGCTAATGGGTGAAAAAGGAAGGAAATGATAAAAGCATGATCTTTTAATGGCTTTGGATTCCTCTTGAATGGAAGTTATTATGAAAATGACATGCTAAAAATAAGTCTGAATTCTAAACATGCATGTAGTCTTCCAGACAGTGATTGTTTTCAATATATTTTGAGAGGCTTTAATACACTCTTGAGCACTATCAAGTTATGACAAGGACACCCTGACAGTAACAAGAATCCTGTTGTTTTTTCTGAAAAAATACTTCCCTGTTATGTTGCCAAATGCATTGAAATCTGAAATTCTTTGCTAGACAAAGGAAGTTGAAGAAATGCCTTAGAAATAATATTGATCCAAGACAGCAAGTTAAGCAAATACAGTATTTTGAAGAAGTATAACTTGATTCATGCAATTTAGAATCTGTGGCTTTAATCTTTGAAATTTAACATGTTGTCAGGTGGTTTTTTTCATTAAATGATTTCTATTTTTTAGTGGAATTAACTTATTAATTTGATGTTTTCTAAGACATCATCATTCACTCCCCTAGGTTGAAGCTGTACATGAAGAACAAGATACAGCAGCCCATGAGGATGACCTTTCAGGGTCTACAAATGAACTCCCTGGAGCATTTGAATGCAGTGATAGCCTTAGTCTGGATATGACAGAGACTGAAGAGAAAGTTGACAGGCTGGAACAATTTGCTCTTGCTAGGTACTTGTATATGCCATTATTCATAAAAGTTCTTTTACACTGTACAACAAAGTGGTAGCAAGGTGTTAGTTAATGGAATGGCTGTTTTGGCCACAGGAGTTATAAAATTCTCTTGAGTTTAGAGTAGTGAGAAGACAATGACCTAATTACCTGCATAATTGTCACACAACTGAAAAAAAAAAACCCAATATTTTGCTTCTGGGAAAAACAAGATATTATTTTTACATACATTTTGCAGTTAGTCATGATATATGTAATATATTTCATCAAAAGAAAAAAAAGGATTTTTAAAGACTCACAGCAATGGAAGTACTGCTTAGTTAGCTGTTCAACAGATCAGCCATGTATTCATCCTCTGATTACTTATGGATCATAAGGAAGTCACAATATTGTCAAAAATCCCAGCTATATACTCTGGAGGCTGCTGGTGAGCATGGCTGGACCCCAGTATATGTTGCAAGAAGACATCAAGATTTTTCCATGTCTAATGGAGCCATTTAGATTTTGGATGCTGAGTTAGATTGCAATTAGCCCATATTTAGGGAAAGGGAAGGGAAAGGGCAGAAAAGGAAAGGGGATATTTGAAGAAGTTCACTCTCTGTGTGCCAGTTGTCAGCATCACAATTCCCGTTCTTGGGAGCCATAGGAAGTATTTCTCCATCCCAAAGGATCATACACAAGAACAAATAGCTTAGTACCCTTTAAAAATGGTAGCCAGCCAGTTTCACTGACCACGGAGTGCCAAAATAATGCTCTGTACTAAGAACAGTGTGGAGAAGGGATGGATCTTCTCCAATCCATTATATTGGGGGGAAACAAAACAAGTCAGTATATATAATGTTTGTACACACTGAGATTCTTTTCAGTACTTCTGCTATACATTACTAAAACCAAGTTTTCCTAGAAGAGGAGTTTTTCTTCATGGGCTTCATGGGTTTTATCCTGCTGTGAAGTTTCAGCCTTCTTCCTCCAAACAATGGTACAATAAAACATTTCAAGTGTTCTGGGATGGAGGAAGATCATTATGGCCTAAAGATAAGGATTCTAATATGGAGGCTTTTCTTGTTATAGCCAATGTCTTGCTAACCTTCAAAAGTAATTTGAAAGTTCATTATTTTTAGAAAGGTGCTGTAATTGGTCCTGTGATTATATCTCTCTGTTATAAATAAATATATATTTTATATGCCACCTTCTTGGCATTTTCCTTTCATCACAGTTTATTTTTTTTTTCTCCTTCAGTTTTGGAGATGTTGATCGAAATGCCTCCCCTCCTCCTTCACCATTTTTTTCTGCCATCCTTGCTGCATTTCAGCCAGCAGCATGTGATGATGCAGAAGAAGCCTGGCGTAGTCATATCAACCAGCTCATGTGCGACTCTGATGGTTCCTGTGCAGTTTATACATTTCATGTGTTCTCTTCCCTGTTTAAGGTGAGAAGTTTAAGATACAAAATCAAAATGTTTAGATTGTGTGCGGCTATTAGGATGGCTCTTGATAGTAGTACTAATAATGAACTACCTGGTATATAACCATTGTAATTTTGCATGCTGCAGAATTGCCGTGCTAGGTTTTCATGCAGAACTGCCTTCTAGGACCAGTTTTGTCATAAACTGTGAATCCCTTCTTTCATCACAAACTGTTGAAATCTGACCATGCCCATGTAAAAGTTAACATTATTAAATATTCTGTACCTAGTCATCTGAATAGAAATATCCAGCTGCCATCATGTAGCATGAATTCCAGAGATTGAGTCTGAAGACTAGAAATACATTTCTTCTTTCTAAAACTATGCTCACAAAGATAAGAATCTTGCAAAAAGATAAGGAAAAAAAGGAGTCAAATGTACAAGCTGTTCTAAGAAATAACTGTCTGTTTTTACCTGTAACTGGTTTAAAAGCCCTTTTTAGTTGTTTCTCCTGCTTTATATGAGGCAGCTGCAGGATGTTTAGCCTGCTGCAGCAGTGTACACCGCGGCCAGGTAACCATGCAGAGTTTAAGTACCCATGATCTCAAAATACACAATTTTCTATTAGCGATGTGTACCGCACTAATAAATACACAATCTCAAGATCTTTTCATATCTTTAAGACTATCCTTGTAAGAAAGAAACATCATACAATAAGGGTCTCTTCTCCATCCTGTTTCCTGTGTGCTGCACCAGAGTTAATTGCGTGTTTTCTCTAGCTGCAGACTGTGTCCTCCTTTAAACACGACGCCACTGTAAATGCGGGTGCTTTAAAGGCATTCTTTTAAACACTGATAAATAACCATTTGGAAGGACAAAAAACAGTGCTAACTTGAGTGCATGACAGTTCAGTTTTGCAAATGAGTCCTGTATTTCTTCATGATGTGTATTTCAGCTCTTCTGCCATTCTGTCAGACCTAGCGGTTAATAGCCCTGTTCAAGTGTTTTGAGAGTTATTTATCCTTTTTGTTCTCTCTGAAGTGGTGAAAAGGAACTGCTGTCACACTTCTGAAAACTAAATAAATCATGCTGTGTAATGCAAGACCTAAACATTACCTTTAAAATACCTGTTTAACTCCAAATCCTGGCATGCACACACTACATTTGCTGTTGTGTTTGCCCTGTATTCAGAAGATAACCTACTCAGTTGATACTGGAGGAGAAAGACACAATACTGCTCTCAAAAAAGTTTTCAGTAACAGCAAAACCTGAATAATAAAAATATAAATAAAAGGTGTTAATGGTATCAACAAACCAGAATCTTCTAGCTGCAGTCACAGACATGTTTAGTTTAAAAAATACCTTTGTTCTCCTCTTCAGGATTAAAACGTAAGAGTATTATTTTCCCAGGTTTTTTTCATAAGATCCCAGCTTGTCTGGAATTGTATTGTGTTTACACCATCAAACTTAGCTACTCATCTGCTAACTTAAAAGACTTTTGACCCTTACCAACAGGAAGTTTCAGAAACAAGCCTGATATGTGCTAGGCTTGCAAAGCAAAGTACTGCCAAAATATTTAACTGTGAAACAACATCATTGTTTGGAGGAGCTTGTCAACTAAATACTTGGTGAAGTGAAAGAAGTGCATTTTCCAGGGCATCTACATTTCAGTCTGCATCAAGTTAATGGTATCTTGGATGTTTGCCCACAACACGCTAAACTTGTTTAAAATTCCTGAAATTATTGAAGTACTTTTCCTGTAAACGAGTCATAGCTCAGAGATCTCTGGATTATCTTTTCGGCTGCCTCTTTGTATTCCGACAAATCAAATGTCTTCTAGCAGACCAGCAAGTTCCAAGACAAGTAGATTTGAAAGCTAGCAAGTAGTTTCCACAATCGAGCCCTTTTGTTACAAAAAAACCTCCTCCCAGAAAAGGAAACCTGAGGTTAAGATAAAACATTTGGAGAATATTTCGTTATTGTTTACATTGACATGAAGCATAGTGACTATATGCAGGCGTATACCTATTCATAATATGCTGGCATTTGGCATTATTATTCACGGTAGTCCCATTTCATAAAATATATACTGCATTCAGACCTTGCTTGAAAGATTTCAGTCACTGTAATCTGCACCCAGAAGTAGATAGCCGAGACGATAACTTACTATAGAACTGATAGTACATAAAATTGGAAAATAAATGTATTAGTGAAGTACTATACATGGATCCCAAAGTACAGTCTCTTGCTGTTTCACATTTTAATACTTTAAAACATTGTTCAAGACTCTTATCATCTTAGCTGTAGATGGATTGTTGCTTCTATGAATATCTGAAAAGGAAAGCAGTAAAGAAAGAAAACGTTTTCTTGAATCTAAATAGTCGACTGGTAAGATTTTGATGAAGCCATGACTGAAAAGCTTTGAGGAACTTACTTTCATAAAGTAAACTACAACTATTAAAATACATGAGTAGATGTGTGCTAGAAGGGACCTGAGAAGCTCATGTTCCTTATCTTGCCCAGGATAGGATCAACTATAACTTTCATTCCAGTCAAATGATTTTTAACTTTTTTCTCTACACTGTTCTTAACCTTTAGGCTAAGGTGAAACTTCACAGTGTTCCTAGGCAATGTAGTCCAATGATTAACTCTCCTTACTGCTTGAAAACTTCTTTTTCTGTGTTTTGTGCTCATGGCTTCTTGCTGTATACACAGTGGTACTTCTCTTCTTTGCAGTTGCTGCTTATATTTGAGGACTCATACCATGACTTCACCTACCACAAACTTGTGTTATTTAACCTCAGTTCACAGAATGGATCATAGAATCATAGAACGGTTTGCATTGGAAGGGACCTTAAAGATCATCTAGTTCCAACCTCCCTGCCATGGGCAGGGACACCTTCCACCAGACCAGGTTGCTCAAAGCCCCATCCAGCCTGGCCTTGAACACTGCCAGGGAGGGGCAGCCACAGCTTCTCTGGGCAACCTGTGCCAGTGTCTCACCACTCTCACAGCAATGCATTTATTCCTAATATCTAATCTAAATCTACCCCTCTTCAGTTTGAAACTGTTACCCCTTGTCCTGTCACTTACATGCTCTTGTAAAAAGTCCCTCCCCACCTTTCCTGTAGGCACCCTTTAAGTAGTGGAAGGCCACTGTAAGGTCTCCCCGGAGCCTTCTCTTCTCCAGGCTGAACAACCCCAGCTCTCTCAGCCTGTCCTCACAGGGGAGGTGCTCCAGCCCCCTGAGCATCTTCGTGGCCCTCCTCTGGGCCCGCTAGAGCGGGTCCATGTCTGTCGTATGCTGAGGACTCCAGAGCTGGATGCAGCACTGCAGGTGGGGTCTCACCAGAGTAAAGCTAGAGGGGCAGAATCACCTCCCTTGACCTGCTGGCCATGCTGCTTTTGATGCAGCCCAGGATGCAATTGGCTTTCTGGGCTGCGAGTGCCCATTGCTGGCTCATAGTCAGGTTTTCATCTACCAATACCCCCAAGTCCTTCTCTGCAGGGCTGCTCTTGATCCACTCATTGCCCAGCCTGTATTTGTGCTTGGGATTGCCCTGACCCAGGTGCAGGACCTTGCACTTGGCCTTGTTGAACTTCATGAGGTTTGCCTGGGCCCACCTCTCCAGCCTGTCAAGGTCCCTCTTTCAACCTTTCCCATAATTCACATTTTCTAGCCTTCTCACTGTTGCTATGGTATTACTTGAAAAGCAACAGCAAGTTCTGTATTTCAGCCTAATTCTTACCAGCATAAACTATAAGAGTATTATCTGTTTTATAGAAGTTATTCCTGTTTTAAAAACTCTCTACTAGCTGCTGCACAGTAGAATGCGGTTAATTATTTTCCACTTGTAACCCAATCTAGTATGCAGATATTTTTCTACAAAGTTTTGCCTTCCTGGTTACTCTCCATCCTGAATGTGCTCTGTGGATTGTTTCATCCTAGGTTTACAACCTTGTCCTTCTTTCTTTTCCCTGCACCGCTTCTCCAGTTTATCATGATCAGTCTGAATTCTAATCCTGGCTTCCAAGGAGTTAGCAGCCCCTACAGCTCAATCATCCATGCATTTAATATGCATGTTGCATATTCCATTATTCAGTATTTTCATTAATGACTTGGTTAGTGCCTGAGACATTCCCCAATGGAATCCTACTCAATTTCTCTTTCCAGTTGGACAGTGAGCTGCTGATAATTAACTTCTGAATATGTTTTTGCACACTAGTTACCTCTAGACTGGGTTTCTCTGCCTTACTTCCAAGATAATAAATGAATTAATATATAACAGATCAATTGCTTCCCCTAATAGAAAATTTTAGCCTTTCATGTAAATTTAATAGTTTGATATGATTTGTTCTGACCAAGTCTGTACTGTCTATTATTCATCTCATATGTTCCCCCATTTCCTGAACTTTGTGTTTAATTCTTTTCCTCTTGGGTTTTTTTGAGATAAGCAGTTTGCTCACCGTGTGTTCTGTGAGCTCTCAAAGATACTCATTATGGCCTCTAGGCCTCTTTAGCCAGTATTATAACTATCATAGCATGAATTTCCTGATTTGCAAACATGTAAAAATACCCAAGCCCTTAGCATCAAGATCTATTCTCACCCGAGTTTTCATAGATGTCTCGTTGTTACCTGTACACAGATGTCCTTTCTGGGAGCAATAAGGCAAAAGAAGGCATTAAATACATCAGTCTTTTGAGCAGCATCTATTAGTAGCTATTTCTCTCCGTTGTGATTCCTTGCCCTTCCTCTTAACTATTTCTAGTTTACTTCTCAACATTCTCTCTTTTACTAGTTTGTTTGGCATCCCCCTCTCTGATTATTGTGCCTACATTGCCATGCTATTTTTGGTACCCAAGTTAGTAATTTAAGTTTCACTTTCTGTTCTTCTTTTTTGCATCAATATTTGCCTGAGTGAAGTATTTGTGATTCAGCCAGGTGTATGTCTTAATGTATTTTCTATCTTTCAGTGGCATAGCATGTCCTCTTTTTTTTTCCTAAAGGAAAGGCTACCTCTCATTATCTCCTTTCCCTGTGAAGTTATTTCTAATGGGCTTCTTCCTGCAAATTCTGAATGCATTGAAGTCTGTTGTATTATGTCTATAATCTGTCTCCTTCACTGCCTCGGATTCATAAACTCAATTATTCTTCCCCAGGAGGGCATTTCAGCACCTAAACAGGTTATCCAGAGCCTGAGGAAGTTCTGACCTTGGAACTTTCAAAATTCAGCTAGACAAAACCATGGCTGACCTGATCTAGAGTTGGCAATGGTCCCACTTCGAGTTGAAGGTTGGGTCAGATGTTCTCCAGAGATCTCTTTCAACCAACTTCTCTTGGATTCTGTTCCATAATCTGTCTTTCTAAATTTCCTTCCACTTTTACATTCTCAGCTAGCCCTTTTCTGTTGGTTAGGATCAAATCTAGATCTCTTTCCTTTGCCAGAAGAGCTGTCAGCAACAGTTTCACTAAGACTTGGACTGAATCTTTCTTTTCGGAAGACATCATAGTAGTAAATCTCCAACTGTCACCAAGCCCTATGATTCAGATGATTCTGCTTGTTGCTCATAAAAATAATCATTTGCCTGGTTTGGTGGTAATTAGTAAGAGCCCCTTGCCTCTACTACAGACTCAGTGCAGCAGAGAATCTGAACCATGTGCTGAGTCCCATGTATAGCGCTTTGTTTCTCTGTTGAAGTAAGATGGTAGAAACGTAAGTAAAACAAGTATCAGCCTATCTGATCTTAACTGTGTTCAGATGGCCAGTTCAGATGCTTTAGAGACACATTCACAAATAAGGAGTTAGGAAATTGGTCTGTGGAGGAAGTTTCTCTTTAGCCATTTTATGAATTATTGATAGCATATACCCTACCTACAATGGGAGGGCTTACGTAGCTTTTTCTAAAAAATCGTTCAATCCAACTGCTTCCATTATCAATAAAGTCTGAATTCAGCTCACCTCATTTTAGGTACTTAACTTCAATGCTCCGGTGTAGGAGCAGTAACAGGTTATTTATGTGTCTGTCATCCAGACTGGTGTTTGGGAAGCACTTCTCTCCAGTGAGGCATGCTTACGGTAATACAGGTCCTAATCTACATTCCTCAGAGAAATGCTTATGGTAATGTGGAATGAATCATATAAAAATGTTGCATACCTTTATCTAAAAAAATATTTTCATGTTACTCCCACCTGCTGAGCAGTTGGCCTTAGTGAGATATAGTTTGGCAGTGAAACCTGCTGTGCATTTGTCAATATCATGCTTTCCGTTCCTGCAAGATTAATATATTTGTTTATTATTCACTTTATATATTAATCACTGAAAAGAAAGTACCAAGGCTAGAGTGTTTCTGGAAGACTAGACTGGTTTAGGACTCAAAACACAAAAAAAATCTGAGAATAATAATTCCTGGATGCAACACAGTATTTCTGGAGTCCTCCCAAGCAGCAGCAAAGTTTTAGTAAGAAGGTTTTTCCCACAGGGGAAAACAAAAGGTTTTTTTCTGATTTTTCCATGCTGCTGTTTGGCATTAGGATTTCCATTATACTATCTGATTAGCCACTTGACATGGAATCCTAACAAAACAATGCCCGGAATGGGCAGGAAAAGTAATGTGCTGATCAACTCTGTTAACTCTGTACAGCCAAGAAACGAAAAGCTACCTGTGGGTAAAAGTCTTTATAGAAATTGACTCATCTGTACAAGAAAGAATGTATTTCAGTAGTAGTTCTTTATGAATTCTGTAATTAGTTTCACAGCTGCCCAGCTGTACACTGTCTCCAGCATAACTATTATTCAGTATCCTTGAGCAGATGTTCAGTTCTCTACAGGGAGGTGGTCTCTTTTGCACATGTTATTGTGTGAGGAAAAAAAAGCATCCCATTTGTTTACAAAGGAAAGAAGCTTCTACTTGAATAAAGACTGTAATAAAACCCCTTTATTTTGTGTTCCAGAATATTCAGAAAAGATTCTGCTTCCTAACCTGCGATGCAGCTAGTTACTTGGGAGACAACCTGCGAGGAATAGGCTCCAAGTTTGTGAGGTCTTCTCAGATGTTAACGTCGTGTTCAGAATGTCCCACCCTTTTTGTAGATGCAGAAACGGTGAGTATATTTCTTTCAAAAGGCTTGTGCTTCATTGCAGTGTGTTATTTTACTGGCTGTTTCACTTCTGAGCAACTCTTGAACAGATATGTCAAAAAGGTACTCACCTCCTATCCCTAATTTTTACCTCTTGTTCTTAACCAAATTTCCATTAATTTTTCCTATTATTTTATTAGGTAAGTACTGGCAGATGGGCAATATAGAATCATAGAATAGTTATGATGTGTTGAGCCTGCGTGCCAAAAACCAGCATAAAACAGGTGCCTACTGAACCCCGTTGGCTCCACAAATGGAAAAGGAGAAGCTATTTTTTACATAGTTCAGCATGAAAGATGGTAACATGTTTAGTGGTTTCGTTTGAGACAACTGTGGCGTGCGCTGGATGATAAAAGTATATACTAGGGAATGAACGAGATGGCTCTTCCCGTTCTTTTCATTCTGGCCCATGTTAATCCAGAGCATCAGGACACTGTGGCCTCACACAGAAGTACTGAGGTAGGAACTTGCAAAGTGTAATCTTGGGCCCACGGCTGTGGCCATGGAAGAGCTGTCCCTGACGTCATCAGAGAGCTGTGGGGATTAACTAGTTAAGCTTTGTGCAGCACTTTATTTTAGAGAAGGCTTCTGCAAAGCTGTTAAACACAGAACACAATTTCAATTTCATATTATCATGGGTGCAACTTTTGCTACTGAGTTTTCAATATAGTCTTCTATTTATGTGTCTTTTTGCATAAATAGAAATATTTTTCAGTATTAGACTCCATAAATCCAAGTATTCTTCTGCAAGAGCTTCCTACTCTGCTAATATTTTTATTCTTTTATAGTGACATTTACTAGACCTTTTGATTTCATTTCTCCAGCTGCTCTCTTGTGGCCTCCTTGAAAAGCTGAAGTTCAGTGTTTTAGAACTGCAGGAATACCTGGACACATACAACAACAGGAAAGAAGCAACGCTCTCGGTATGCTGGATTTTATGTTCTTGGTTTTGTATGTGTGTATACTTAATGCTATGTCAGGAGACTACAGATACACTCAAATCTGTTTAAACTAATATTCAGTAGAAGAACACGTTTCAGATACTTGATTATTAAATGTTTCTTCCTGAGTGTATGAACTAGAACTAAAAAAATAGTATTGTATCCCTTAATTTTAGAAACATTGGCATCTTTAATATTCCTGGTCTCTCCTTTCTCCTATTCAGTAATGAATTCATTTTCTTGATTTATGCAATTGAAACACTAACAGAAGTCAAGACTACACTGTTTAAATTATAGTCAAAGCAGATTGTCAGCCTGTGTAAATAAAAAGTGCAATTGAAAAATTTTATTTGTTTACATGCTGTGCTGTGAAAATAAAATACTTCTTGCCTTCCTTCAAATCAAACTATAGGCCTTATTCATATCTTCTTTTAATTTCTCTCTGAAAACAGTGGCTTGCAAACTGCAAAGCAACATTTGCTGGGGGCTCACGAGATGGAGTTATTACCTGCCAGCCAGGGGACTCAGAAGAGAAGGTAGTGAATAAGCAGTATTATTTCTCTCCCATAAAGTGGCAATGTGTGATATATCTTGTTCCCAGACCCACAAGCGCCTGCTGTACTTCCTCCTTGTCTCTCTGATGGGCTTGAGCATAATCCAGTTTTCACACTTAAGGCTTGAAGGTATTGTCTCATTCCTGGCCACAGGAAAAGGGAAGTATTCAGAGGCAATACTTCTGCCTTCCGAGTCTAGACAAGGCAGTAGAGCTAACCCTGCCTGGGTCCTGTGTGGGCTCTCCCTTTTAGAAAGATGTTGCAGCAGCATTTTCCCACCATGCAGTGTCTCTGAAAATCGCTCCTGGTCCACTGTGCTTCCACATTACGCCCATTTTATCTATGGCTGCTGTTACAGCCTCGGGTCTGCCCAACAGCAAGACTTACCTGGTTGTAATACACTTAAATTACAAAATAATGACTGTAAAGTGGCCCGTGAAATAATTTATGCTGTAGATAATTATTTATAGTTAAAGCAAAATATCTCTTTATCACTTTTGAACAAAAGCTGTACGCGCATATGTGCATAATACATATGCACATAAATATAGATATATATTTGGTGTGTTAATTCCAGTTGAGAAATCAGTCTTTTCAGAAATCAGCACCATCAGCTGGCATCCCTATTACTTGGTATACTAAATATAGGAAACAGATGGTATCTTAGTGGTGTAGAATGAGTTGAGAAATATTATTTCGTGGGTTTTCTTCCTTTTGAAGGAAAAAGGAAGGATGGAAGAAAGACGGGGCTGGAGAGAATTAGCCAAAACCAGGAAGCAGCAACAGCTTATAGAAAAAAGGGACATCTCCTCTTTCCGTGTATTTTAACTTAAAAACAATAATGATGACATTTTCAGAAGACACAGTTGCCTGTTGTAACCATTTTTTCCAAATACCTTGTTCTATTCTTATGTTGGTTTCAGTTTGTCTGTTTTCTCTCCCAAATCGCTTTATTTTCTCCTGGCTTTATCTTAACCTCTTTCCCACTTCTATGGATTTGTCATCCTGTCTTTGAATTCCCTTGATTTTTTTTTTTTGGTGCCATTTCCTAAGAATCCCAGATCCTTGCCACCCCTGCATTTTGGCTTCATTGACCTTATTAGCAAATATAATTTGCTAATAAATCCTCTGGGTGCAATCACAGGTAGTGGGAAAACCGTTCAATCTTCCCCTGCCTGGTATTGGCACCAGCAAAAGTTACAGACACCTTCCAATGTCTTTAGATAAGATACTGTCTCTTCTGTAATTGTAATAGTGGACAGGGAAGTTACAAGTAAGCTATTCTCAAATTTAAAAAAAGAGAGACCTGGAATACATGCTACTACCTCTCCTGCAAATGCATCAGGAGAGGGAGATAAAGTATATGTAGGGAGGCATAACTATTGGAACGTGCAAGGGCTTTCTCTTCCCACTGACGCATAACACCCTGAACAGTGACTTCAGACTGTAGTGTTACATATCTTGCTGTATACAGCTTAACTTACCCTCTTCATCCCTCCTTTGGGAATCCATAGAATGGGGTGGAGGATCACACATCTTGCTGATAATCTACATTGTTTCTTTTTTTTTGAAAAAGTAGAGGAGAGAGAATGCTGAGGATAAGGAATAAACTGTGATGTGAGCTCACATAGCTGGGCTAAATGCATTTAGAAGTTAATAAATGTCATATTCCACTTGTGTGTGGTTTTTTTTAATGAGGTGTTCTCTCAGAATAAATGTGTGTTTTGTGAAGCTGGGGTTAGTATTATTACTGCTTATCAAAACAGACTGAAAAGAAGGGTTTCTCACTCCTGCAGGAATCCCTGGTCTCTCCCCAGCATTGTTCCTTCATCCCAAAATGCATTATTCCTTGGAAGTTGACAGGATGGTAGGTCTTTGATCAACAGGCACATTTCTTTTTCTTCGCCTTCTCATTCACCTGTCAATTGAAGCAGCTCTTCCCAAAGGAACACTCTGTTTATTCAACAAAAGTGTAATGGGAGGAAGAGCCCAGGGAAACTGAGGAATTGTCGTTAGGAAGGGACAAGGAAAAATTACTCCTAGAGTAGCAAGTATTTGTCCTCTTCTCTTTCCTCTCCTCTTCTCCCTCAACCTGAAAGGCTAAAGGATTTAATAATTCTAGGAAAAAAAAAAATCTGTCTTACAGTGATAGTCACAAGGGAACCTGCCTAAACCCCTTAACTCATTGAGGGTTAGACTAGGGCCTGAAATCCTGCTAAAAACTTCTGGCATAAAAAAATTGCTTAGCTAAGCACAAACCCAGGCTACTTCTGGAAAAGGTCCAGAAATTACTGTAAGAAATAAAAAAGCAACATCTTGCTCTATAGAAAGCAGAAGTCTTAGATTCTTAGACCTCCTCCCCTGTTAAAAAGCTTGAGGTGAAAATACTCCTCTCTGCAGACAAGGCAGACGTAAGACCAAATTCACAACCTCACAGAATGGTGGGGATTGGAAGGGACCTCTGGAGATCATCTAGTCCAACCCCCCTGCTAAAGCAGGTTCGCCTACAGCAGGTCTCGCAGGATCGTGTCCAGGTGGGTTTTGAATACCTCCAGAGAAGGAGACTCCACAACCTCCCTGGGCAGCCTGTTCCAGTGCTCTGTCATCCTCAGAGAAAAGAATTTTTTCCTCATATTGAGGCAGAACTTCCTGTGCTCCAGTTTATGCCTGTTGCCCCTTGTCTTGTCACTGGGCACCACTGAAAAGAGCCTGGCCCCATCCTCTTGACACCCACCCTTTAGATATTTATAGGTGTTGATAAGGTCCCCTCAGTCTCCTCCAAGCTAAAGAGCCCCTGGTCTCTCAGACTTGCCTTGTAGGAGAGATGCTCCAGTCCCCTCATCATTTTTGTAGCCCTCCGCTGGACTTTCTCCAGTTTCTTCAACTTTAGCACAAACAGTTGCATCACAAATGCCTGCTGATGCTGGTAACTAACTTGGCACCAGTTTCTCTAATCAGATCTTATTTCAAAATAATTGCACATAATTTGTTGACCATTGTTACTATTACTGAAAATGGGCAAAGGCAAAAATTGCTTATTCTGACATTAAAGAAGCTTGAAATAGAAGTTGTCTAGGTCAGCTACTAGAGCTAGCAACTTTTCAAAAATTGGGTAAAAGCGTCATGTCCCAGAATGTCTTTCAGCCCCTTATTGTTGCAACAGATGACATGAGGTGGATGTGTCTGTGATTTGTAAGCTTTGATGCTACGTTGAGCAACAGAGGCTCAAGGACATAGGAGTGGATTTATAGGCAAAAGATAACTGCACATACTATTGTGCCGTCTGCCCAGGTATAACAGTCTTAGATGAGTACAGCTATCAGTACAGTCTTCAACTTTACTGAATGAGGGGTTTTTTTAATCTAGTCAAAGACTGGTTTTGTTTGTTTTTTTTTTTTACTGGAAAAGAGATACATGGAAGATCCTATTTTTCTTGTCAATTAGCACTGCTAATTGAAATAAGTTTTTATCTCCTAATGAGACATTCAGTTTACTCTGTAAGTGTAAAGTCAGTGTTACACCTTTCTTAAACCTTGCTCATCCCAAAGCTCACCGTAAGCTAATGGATGTGGGCTTTGCAAACTCAAACTGTTAATGGATATTTAAAGCATGCTGCACCCCATTAAAATTGGCCCCAAAAATTCAGAATGCACCTGTTGCTATGAGTTTCCCTGTGGCTAAAGGTTCAATTACTCTCGGCCACCAGTAAGACGAGAGGTGTACCTCTTGGGACCATAATCATCTGGAGTTGACCTGAGTTACAGTAAAGCTCAAGGCACAGTGAGTCTCAGTAAGTTAGAAATTCTTAATAATCAGTAATCAGTTATCTGACTGTTATTTGACAGATCCATGGATTGACAAGGAGGTAAAATTGGCCCAAACAGTCACTGTTCTAAAGGAGGAACACAGCTGTGGTTTTGATTTCTCCAGACAAAAGAGTTTCTACTGTCCTTCAAGTCCAGTGGGTATTTAAGAATGCCCATCATATGCTGTATCTCTTTTATATACAAATTTGTATATATACACACACTTTCCTAGATTGTGGGAAAAGCTTTTGTCTGCTGGAATGTCAAATAGAATACCTTAATAAAATGCACTTGCAGTTAAAAACCCTTGCACACAGCAGTTACTTTGTTATGGTGGGACTCTCCTGTGCCAGTAAATGACTAAAGACTGTGTTGCCATCAGTGTTATGTCTTAAGAAGTAATTGTGTAACCCTCATCTCTTTTCAGTTTGTAAAAATGATTCCTTGAAAAAAGAAAGAAGGCCCATGATCTAAAGATTACTACTTTGCTATATTCCTGGTCTGCTCATAGTACAGAACAGTAATTCTCTGTCTCAATAAAAAACTAAATTAAAGGGTTGCTGCTAGGGGTTGTGTCCTTCTTAGGTCTAGCATTTACTAGCTGCATAAGGGACTATGCAAGTGATCCAAATACTCTAACCATTCAGTATTTTCAGCTGACAAAACCACTAATGGTGTAGTGTCTATCAACTAATCCAAAACAACACTTCCCCTATGATAGTAATTAAACTAGAACCTGAGGAGAGTGAAGGCTAGGATCATTCCACCTGAGCCCTTACTGCTGGGGACTAGAAGAAAGGTCACTTAGTCCAACAATTAATGTCTTTTCAACTTCCAAGGAATATTTCATTTTGTGCTAAAAGAGTGGGGAAGATAAGTTAGAATCATGAGCATTGCAGAGCAATGTGGAGTTGAGCATCAGTAGTTTAGGGAGATTTTTTATCCAGTATATTTTCTTTCAGTGAAGAAGAAGGGTTTTTCATGTAATGTGAAATCCCTTCCCCACCCCGTTTTTGGCTTACCCTGGTTTTTGGCTTGCCCTGGTTATGGAAGCAGTACAGAGAAGACAGTATCTTCTGGAAAAAAAAGACCATGGAATTCACTTATTGGCTGCTCCCCACCACCCCGACTTCTTTAAAGTAAATTCCATGGCAAATTAGAAATTATATGTAGATTCCAATATTTTTGAAAGTCCAAATGAAACTTGGTGGCATGCTAAACTTCAGAGCAGCTTAAATTAGAGACAAACAAGATTTGAAAAACACAAGCCAGCACACCTGTGGATTTACTAGAGCACAGTGATCTGTCTGCTCTTGTCCTCTTCTTATCTTGAATTTAGCTTTACAAAGCTTAATCTACGTGAACTGCGTGGAAGCCAAGATATAAAGGGGTTTTGTCAAGAGTACCAAATAAAAGAAAAAAACTATTCAAGCAATGTTAAAGGCATAAAATTAAACATTGTAAGAGCTTAAAGCTTAGTTTTTATAGAAGAGTAGTGCAGGATTTAGGACAATAGTTTTCATACATTTTTTTTAATAATAAGGCCCGTGGAAAAAAAGCCAGACTGAAGTACATTGTTAGGCTATACAAAGTCAGCATTATTTCACATTTCTGTGTTTGGTGCCTTTGTATTAACAGTAAGGTATATAATTTTAATAAGAATTCCAAATGTTTGTTAACACTGTGTGCATATGCACTGACATCAGGCTGTAACTGGGCAGATGTCATTGTGTTTGTTAGCTACAGCATTTACATAATGACTCTGTTCATCTCAAATGTCATGAGAATGTAATATATATAAAATAAGAAATGTACACAGAGTGCAAACGTTAGCTCTTGGCGAAGAAACAAGGAACACTATTTTGAGGAGAGAAGTTAGTCCCCTAATCTTTGAAATACTGAGGTAGGTCAATTAGAATTTTTATTACTATTGCAACAGGACTTACACTGCCATTTTCATAGCTCCAGAATTACGAATCAGTGAATCATTACTGGTGAGAGGAAGGAATACAAAGCTGTCTCAACTTGTGGCATTGCCATGTAGTGAAACCAAACTGGCACTTTCCATGGATTTTTTTTGTCTTAAGATAGTTGTAACTTAAAAATTGTATGCAAAATGTTTCCATTGTAATGTGCCAAGTAATAAACCGAGCAGTCACAAACCCTATCCTGGAAATTTAATTAGATCTATTACGTCCAAAAATAGAAGTATTTCTAAATAACAGCATATTTATAAATAACAAAGTTCAGTTCTGTTTATCACTTGAAAACCCTGCCTAATTTTTGAGTACTTTGCAATATGAGCTCTTTTTAATAAAAAAGAAAGCTAATTTAAATAAAAGTGTTATTTCAAGAGTTTTCTAACACAATTTCACTGTAAGTTCCTGAGCTACTGAGTGGGATAAATCAAAATTAATAAATCTGAAGATCTAACTGAGGATGTTTAGACTGTAATTTACCATTAGAATTAAAGCTTGATTTTATTAAGAATGCTGTGCATGTTGTATGTGATATTTCCAACCAGTTATCAGGTTGAGGCAAGCATTGCTAATACTGCTGACAAGTTATGCTATTAAAGATGGGCTGTGCTTCCTATTGCATGCATTACACTGACACTATACTTTCTTTCCTTTCCTTTTCTCCTGTGCCATGCTTGCTGTGTAGCAAATGGAATCTCTTGCAGTAAGTTGAAGTTCTTTCATATTCTTTGTCCATCTGTAGATGGACTAATACACCCCAATTTTACTGATTTACCTCTAAGCATGTTTTCCTTTTTTCGTAAAAATTTTCCTGTAGAATATGTGGTTCTACATGCAGTGACTAAAATAAATTACTAAGGTGTGTTTTGTGTAATCTAAAAATACTGTGCCAAAATTCTGACACCTTCATATGCTGTTTTAAATGGTAATTTACATAAAATTTAAAAAAGCAAGCCTTTGAATGGATATAATGTGATGGAGTGCAAGATCAAATTTTTTGTTATTTTAAAATGCGTAATTTCCAATTTGTCCTAATGAAAAACTACAATTTGTAGTTGACAGTTCTGTTTCAAATTGGTTTTGTTTATATGTTGATGGATAGTTTCACCACTGTTGATTGGTTTCTAATACTTATTCAGGAAGAACAAAAATTGCATTGCTTGATATGGTGACTAAATACTGAGTGAGTCAAACTTGAGTCTTCAATTTGACCTCAGTTTGTCTTCATTCAGGTTAGCAGCCAGAAGGGTGAAACTGAATTATTGTTCTCCAAGGACTGAAAAAAAATCATGTGTTACATGCCAAGCTATTGTGAGATTTTTATTATTTTTTAAATCATGTTATGCCGTGTCCTGGTTTTCAATTAATTTTTAACTCCCTGACAACTTCAAGTATATGTGTGTTTAACTCCTACGTAGTGTTGCCAGTTCTCCAAAATTTGAATAGAGTGAATTTGATCCCTACTGGAGAACCTCGGGCTGTGTCCCTACTGGTGGATTACAGAGGACCAGGGAGCAAGCGTGTGTCCCTGTGCTGACGTTAGGGCTGAAGGGGTTGGCACCTTCCCTGGCCGGGGCGCCAGCCAGCCCCTGACATGCCCGGGCGTGGTGGGAGAGAAGACAGAAGCCAGACCCACTTCCAGGAGGCCATATCTAAACAGTCACTCTTTATTTTTGGAGGAGAACAGTTAGCCACACAGACACAAGCTTGGCAGTGCTCCATGGCCTCAGTTACAGAGAATGGCCTCTGGGCAGGTTTATTTAACAGGCTGCATCCCTCATGCCCTACCTTTACATTCTCTCGGCCACCGATAGGTTTTATCCCTGCCCACAACTTGGTTCTGTCCTAGCAGATCGCACATCTCTTCCTCCCTTTTTTCCCCACCATGGATCTGCTGGGCCTTCCTTCAGCTCCTGTGGGTCTTTGCTGTCCTATCAGGCCTGGTGGGATTCCTCCCTTCCATTTGGGGCAGGAACACTCTGACCCCGCTCACCAGTAACAAACATTAAACATACAGACTCAGATACCAGAAAGAGTTTATCCATGACAGCACAAAGCTCAGACCAGACGAATTTCCAGTGCTGAACTCCGCTGCCATGGCAGAGCAGCACTGAGGTGTGAGCAGCCCTGTCTGCCTGGCCTTCAGCAGG